GTGCTTTTAGCAAAGTTTTATTTCAATGAAAGGTTAAGTTTTTATTCAAGATAGAATTTTATTCATAATAGTTTTCTAATGTTAATGAATTCGATTTGAAATATTATTTCGATAAAACATGACTTTCATATGGATAGAATATTCTTATATTATTCGGATTGGTCATCTTAACGTGTTCCCATTTATGTATTGTTTGCAAGATTGGAATTCTATTCCTAATTCACTTTAATAACAGCGTTCTTGCTAATTCGTATGTTAAACATATCATACAGCATTGTGAGTGAGGGTGACAGCTGTATTTATAGTAAACAAATACGGTAATTCCAATTCTGTCTGAAAAAATTTTAGTCAAAATTAATATTTCAACTTTCCCTAGACATAAATAGAACTACAATCATGCCTAGACGAATTCGCAATTTGTCTATATTGCAATTTTGTCGACAAGATATATATATATATATATATATATATATATATATATATATATATATATGAATAATTGAGCAATACTTTGCTCATTTTATTAACGATTATTCTATTCCAAACATATATGAATCGTTCGATAGTTAATATTATGAATCTACCGGACGAAATAATTCTTATTATTTGAAATAAATTGAATAAAATTGGTAGGTGTGGGATGTGGGGTATGTGTGGCCGTGTGTTATTGAAGAGAAGACCCACATCCGCACCCACACCCTTTTCCATCTTGAGGATTTTAGCAGTGCTTGAAGATGAGGCTGAGAAAGAGTTCATATATCTTGTGTTCGATTGTATTTCAATTTAATTCTATTGAAAGTCATTTTTGCGTCATAAATTTCTTTAATACACCATTGTTAGTGGTGGGTGTGAGTGTGTCTAGCAACCATTATCGCAATTTCATCCTGGCTAAAGGACTCATCAACCAAGTCAAAGATATACGGCAGGAAATGGCAGGATCCGGTCAAATTCCGACCAATTTCTGGAAGCAGTATTCCAAAATCAGATCCGGTCTCCGGATTCTGCTGAATTCCCACCAATTCCTGCACCTGTGTGCGATGTTCGGATACGGTTGTCATTTTCCGTGTGGTTCCCGACAAAGTTTCTTATTTTATATCAAGTTAACCAGATCCCAGTCTTACACGCACCGTTTCCGAGACGGTTATAAGTAGGGTTCCCGGGTTTCATCCCTATCGAAGGATCCTGTTTATACCGCGCCTCTTTCCGTTTCGTTGACAAAGTCCACATCCGGCGTTTCAAAGATCTTTGAAAGACTTTCAAAAACTCTCCCAAAGACGTGCGCGTGTAGGTGTATGCAAGTTCATCTATACCGACACGAACATTCACAATCACACCCGGAACCAACCACATCCACCTCCACCCAGTACTAAAGCCCTTATGCTGCCGTCACAGACCCTCTTCTTCGAATTCAAAGGTAATGGCGTCCTCTACGTGAAACTATTCAGGAAACCTGATAATTCAAAGGCAAAAACCGACAGTCACAAAATTGAGACTTCATCACACAGCAACCCACTCGCAACATAGATAATTTCATTTCAAAAATATTCGATCACTACAGATTTTCACAAGCATGAGCAGAGGCTACGATACTCACTAAATTACATGATACTTTCCAAATTTTAATGGTTTCTAGGATTCTCGAAAAATACTGATCATCACTTCGTCTGATAAACCCATTTCGACCTTCACTAACATAACATCGAATCAGATATTCTGGCGACACGATATGTTGACTTCGTTTCACTATTCGCACTAATTTCGTCCATGAAATTACTATCTGACTCCCCATTCGCGCAGCGATCAGCAAACAACCATAATACAGCTCGTTCTTCCCATGAGAATTCAACCATTCGACACAACTGACAGAGACAATAACCACTACAACAACGTTACAGACAGGCACCTTCTATTGATAAGTTACTCTCATCTTGAAGAGCAACTCATAATTGAGCCATCAGAAAAACGACCATTTCTACACAAGCGTATTAGAGACTGCATCTTTTCCACTCTTAGCACACCCATATGGTATGTGAAAGGACCAAGTACATGTCGTTCTCGACAGCGATCACTTCTACCGAAACAACGAAGTACCTAAGTGAGGTATTTCATTCGCATTCTTCAGCAGCTTGCGGATTCAATTTTTTCCTTCATTTCCGCGTTCGTCCCTACCAAACGTTGGTGGTCAAGATCCTGCTAATCCAAGGGTCAATGATACTTTGAATGTAAACCCATGTAAAAGTGTATGCAAAATTTAACGATTTAACGAAATTTAATGTTACCCCTTTTGTCCTTGAAAACGCGTTAAAATATGAATTTAACGAATTTTCACTTGTTTTTCTAAGTTAATATTATTTTAACGCGTTTTCAAGGACAGAAAGGTAACATTAAATTTCGTTAAATCGTTAAATTTTGCATACACTTTTAGATGGGAAGTATCTGAGAAAAGGTTTTCGGCTTAGTTTATTTTGCTTAAACTCAGATTGTCGTCTAAAGACAACTCCTCCGAAAGCATCGCCTTGCGAAATCTCTGAGAAGGTGATTTCCATCGATTGGTACGACTTTGGTCCTAAGAGCACCGCGAAACTAAGGTGTATGACAAAAGTATCTCTGAAAGATCTTTCATAGATCTTTCAAAGGTGTTCCTAACGTATCCTCCAGTTTTTTCGGTGGAAAATGATCCGTTCCTTGCCAGTTTTCGGCGTGTTCCTGCAGTTTCTGAATTCTTTCCGGTAGATTTCCGGATAGAGAAATTTAGCGGAAGATTCAGTTTCCTGGTACGAAAAAGTTTCGGTCGGAATACTGTTTCCGTGATCTGGATATTTTTCTCGCCGTTTCTGGTCGGAAAGACGCCGAAACCAGCAGGTGTGGGTGTGGGTGTGAATATGGATGTCGATCAGCGCGGCAACAAAACACACACACACGTCACATTCCCACTCCCACCCACAACCCACACCCACGCACACCTCAACTTTTATTTCTAAAACTGCCATGCGTACAATTGTTGACACTACTAAGATTTCAATCAAAGTGCAATTCTTGTTGATTTCTGAGTAATACATTAAGGAAACACTATTTTGACTACTCGGTTTAAATATTCAGAAGTGTTTCTCCGTTGGTTCTAACAAGGAAATAATACGTATATTATAATTGACTGCAGTTCTTTGATTTCTTCCATATTCTCCAATCGAAGTTCTATACGTATTTAATCGCCAACTACATGAAGATGATCTCATTGAATATTTCATTGATTCATTTGCAACTGCATATTGAAGTTGCGTCGAAATTCGAGCTTGGAGAATGCAGCATCCAATTGAAAAAACAAAAATTCCAATGCCGAATATTTCAAATCCAACAGCATCTGATAAGGAAATTCAAATGAACGAGAGTGTACATTTGTTATACCTCCAACAGCAAATAATGCCATTTCAGCAGCTAAGCGCAGAAAAACGAAGAGGACACAAATAATTAGAGATTTCCTTGCAGAAATAGCTTCGTTAATATTGACAATAGATCGCTGAAATTCACCTTGGGCGTGGGTGTGAGTGCCGGTGTGATTACATATTATCTTTATCCACACCCACGCCAACACCCAAATTTTGTGAGGTTAAAATGTCAGATGTTCATTTGTTAAACAATCAAATTTTAAGAGCTTCAACTGTCGTGGCATAAATACCATATTACCAAATATAGGAGTATCTGGTTAAAATAGGAGATTTATCGAGTGTTATACCTTCATAGCATTTACAGTACACGGAATAGTAGGTTTTCCGATACACGTTCCATGTAGGGAGTTTTTATTCTGTACTCTTTTTCAAATTGAATTTGAATCATTCTTATTTAACATAAAATCTACAATTGTGTAGGTTCTTCTGAATAGTGCTATACTGATGAACAGTCAGACTTCTTTTTTTTTTGTCTATGTGAATGACTCTCAGTTGTATATTGATCGAGCAAAATTAGTTACTTAGCTATCAAGCTGAATTGATGATCGAATGAAACCAATGTTTTTTTTTTGTTTCATTTTTAACAGTCAATGACATCTGTGCACAATTTTTTCCGTGGAATGTTGTCCTTAGTATGAAAACGTGAAGATTCCTCCTAAAAAAGACTAATCATTTTTATTGTTACGCAAGTCGAAAACAAACGGATATGACGTTGTAATAAAAAATCTTTTCAATGATCTTTACTTTTGGTGGATATTCATTGAAACTTTAAAAAATAAATTGCATGATCAACTCATTTTATCATTACATTTGTCTATCTATTTATATCATATATTTATTTTTTCCATTTTTTTCAAATTCTCACACATAAACAATAGATTTCTTATCATCAACACAGTCAATACATGGCACAAGGAAGGACAAATGATCGAGCAACCTGCTCTATCTGTGACAAAGAAATACTGGTGGGTGTGGGTGAAAGTATTCTCTTCATTCAAGTCCACACCCACACCCACACTGACATCCACACAAACACACATACCCACACTCACACTGACCCACACTCCCACTCACAGTGGCACCCATAACCACACACAGCCATAACCACACCCACACCCACACCCAAATACGAGCTTCTGATGAAAACAGGATTCAGCTAGATGGATCAGTTATGGAGGTTTTCAGGGACAAAATTGATATACCACTAATCTCAAAGCTTGTTAATAGCTTAAGGGTGTGCGAATGGGTGTAGAGGAGACTAATACCTATACTCAAACTATTCCCACTACCACAGGAATTTTTATAAAGGAATAATATCATTTGAACAATCGTTTAAATAAATATTTTCCAAGTAAATATGATCTAGGCTTAGTGCTATAGGTTCTGCTATAGTACGTACAACTTAACTTTCAGAGTTGATTTTTTTCGTATGGATATATGATAGACAATTGCTGTACTGTTGAGAAATATCAAGCGTAAAAGATAACTTTGTGATGAAGTTGTGATCAAAATAGAATGCTTCGAAAAATCTTGTCTGTTACTTCATGTAGATAAGTTTTAATCTACATCACTATTTTCGTCACTCTCTTCATCATCATCATCATCATCATCTTCATCATTATTGCCATCACGAACAGTATCATATGAAGAAAGTGGAATACATTGACTTTGTGGAGTCTTTAATTGGTTTACCATGACGTGCCTTAGTGAAGGTAATGCTAATTTCAGCGCTTCGATTTCATGGCTACTGTTGATAGTAACCGACCCAATGTAAAGTTTCAAGTGACATATATTGCTGTGAATTATCTTTTGATTGATCGGCCACTTGATTAAATGTCGAATCTCAAGATAGCGAACATTTGGCATTAAACTGATCAAATTACCAAAACGATCTGAGCGACAAGAGCCAATAGTTACATTTCGTAAACCAGAATGACCAATGCAGTTGAAAATGCCGAAAAAATTAGCTTGTGGAAGATGTACTGAAGTTAGAGATTCAAAATATCGGTTAAGAATAAGTTCGAGAAGACGCCCGTAAAAGGCGTCGAGTGCATTAGAAGATGAAGTGAGATGCAGATGAGTAAGATATGGCATGTAAATAGGATCAATCGCTGTTATTTGATACTGCATCAAGTGTAAAATTGTCAAGAAGCGAACATTTTTAAAATCATGTAAGTCTATCATGTGGCAACGCCGTTCAAGTTTAACTAAGCTGATGCAGTGTGACAATTCACGAAGTATGCATGAAGTTGACACTAATCGATCATCGACACCGGCACCAGCTTCTCGCAAGAGAGCGTTCAGGCGGGAATTAATGTTGCTAAATGAACATAAGCGATCTGCCGGCGATAAATAAGTCAAAATGAGTAGCCATAACTCATCAGGAAGCAGCTCAAGACAGGAAATCGATCGACAGACATTAATCATTGCTTTGTTGGCAGTTTAAAATATCAGTAAGCATCAAAAAGTCTTTCATATGGCATGCTCCAGAAAAAATGTTTAACTCACGTAACATCATGCAAACTTATTCGAGTTTCGCACACAATAATGGTAACACGTGTTGCTCGTTCTGTTCTTTCACTTCCTTACATTTCTTACTTGTGGGGACGGCTAAAGGTACTCCAACGAATTAATAAAAAATATGCAAATCATTGTAGAGGCACATCAAATGTTGTCATGAAGATTGGATCAAGGGGAAAAGTGCTACATCTGAGCACCAAATTTTGCTACGATGTGCTGGAAAACTGCTGTAGATGCTGAAAGGTGCTGAAGATACTAAACAAGTGCTGCAGGTGCTGAAGATACTAAACAAGTGCTGCAGGTGCTGAAAAGGTGCTGCGGGTGCTCGAGGTGCTCAATACATATTTGAAGTTAGACTGGAAATTAAGGTGATAGCTATGGGTAAGAGTCATATTATTGGGTAATTCCATGGATAGTCAGCCACGAAAAATACAAAAGTGCGTAAAAAGCTTTCAACGTAGCTTGTTTTGTAGAGATTTTTGTGCTGATCATTTTAGTAAACAAATATTTTATACCAAGAAGATAGAAAGATACTAGAGTCAAAATACTGAAAGATGTAGAATTTACATTCGCAACTGAAGCTTTTTTTAGTATTTTTATGATAGCATCTGTATTAATTGATTCATTTTAAATATTTTTATACTAAAATGATCAACATAAAAACCTCTACAAGATGGAATATGTTTAACACATTTTGAATATCTTCATGGTTTTCCATTAATAACATTCATTTGGAAGGTGAGCGAAAAGTCGATCCATACATCTCAAAACTGCTATATTCTACTGATATATGACATAGCAGGTTTTTTAGAGCGAACTCTTCTCTAGAAAACTCTATAAATGGTTTCTCATTTACAGTTGAATTGGCCGCGTAAAACTCGATCTAACATTGTGAACCGATTTTTGTGAAAAAGCAAAGTGTGGTTTTTTTCGCGGATGTCACCTAGAAAGGAGGGGGGCCGATAAGAAACGAAATCGGCCCCCTGTCGGAATTCGACTTTGTCCCTCCAATTTTATTATTTTCGCTGTTAGAAGTTTATTTCTATCGAAATCAGACAATTTTATGCAGTTCACATTGCACACAACTCGATTTAGTTACTCCTCTTTTCTCTATATTATATGACCACGGTAGATTGTAGTCTAGTGGTTATTGCTTCACTAGTTCATTCTTATGTTTAGTCGATACATACATCAAACCGAAGCTCTTTTATTTCTCTATCGAATGGCATATAAATATATGAGAGACAATAGTTCAATTGTCTTCTTTCATATCGAAACGTCATACCACTATATGATATATATGTATGTTCTTATGATGGTAGACAACTTTTTATTATCTGAAACATGAAGATCCGCTCTGAATTATATTCTAATCGATAGATCTGGTCAATATCTATTAAATGATGATAAAATATGAAGAGAAAAAAGTGGCCCAGTAAGTCTAATTGTCGAGAAATTTAGAACATAGTCATGCTATGAACCTTAACACTTCCACTGAAATCGTTCTCGTATTATGTTATTTGGAATATTTATGCGTCATAGTATAATACTGCAATTAGAAGCTAACAAGGGAACATTCCCAGGTGCCCGAGCGATTTTCGGCCGGGACTTAGTGCATCTTATAGACCTTAGTGCCCTATGTCCACCATAAAAAGGGTTCGTGCTTATGGCCTGTTTCTGAGGAGATCGAACGTTTTTAGTTTTATAGCTGAATATGTCCATAAGGTCTCAATCACATTATACAAAAATGATCTTTGGTTTCGATGAAACATTCAGTGTTTGTAGAGCTTCTAATTCTGAGCATTTTGATAAAAAAATATTTTCAAAATGCTTTTGTTTTGATGGAGATACACTCAAAATATTATAAGTAGTAAAAATCCAAAAATGCTCAAGAAAAATTTTTCTCAGAGTTTTTGAGTTTTTACTGCTTACAGTATTTTGAGTGTATCTCCATCAAAACAAAAGCATTTTGAAAATATTTTTTTATCAAAATGCTCAGAATTAGAAGCTCTACAAACACTGAAAGTTTCATCGAAACCAAAGATCATTTTTGTATAATGTGATTGAGACCTTATGGACATATTCAACTATAAAACTAAAAACGTTCGATCTCCTCAGAAACAGGCCATAAGCACGAACCCTTTTTATGGTGGACATAGGGCACTAAGGTCTACAAGATGCACTAAGTCCCGGCCGAAAATCGCTCGGGCACCTGGGAATGTTCCCTTGTTAGCAGCATGTGTGCAACGTGATAATAGCATAATTGTTGAATATAAATGGGTACACTTTTACATAAGATCAAAGGTTGAAAAAACTAGCTATTTGTTTCATTTGCGAAGAGCAGAAAATAGGCACTTGGTACTATCGTAATATAGAATATTTTATCTGAAAGCCTGAAAACGGATTAGAATGTTTTTCTGCCCTAAAAATATCTCATCTTTTTTTTTCTGTTAAAGTTAATCCAGTGATGACGCTCGATAACATTGCAAACTTTTACATGAGATCAACAAAATTTTGGCCATTCTTCTAGATGGTATAGGTGTGATTTGATAAATTAATCAAGAGACATTGCGAAATCAACCGTTGCAGTGATATTAGAAGTCACCATTAAATTGATTTTAACACAAAAAGCTGAAATATTTTGAGAGCAGAATAGAGTACTTGATACCCGGACATGTGCACGAGTATTTTGCCCAGTTCTATAATTCTGTTCTGATACTATAGGAAAAAACTCATAAAAATGGTGGCAAAGTGAAACTGCCGTCTGTCTCATAATTATCTTTGCTGCAGTAATTATATGGATGGCAATTATCATTGAATCATGTCATCTCGCGCTGATTAATTTCGATTTGGAAAATACAAATAAGGTATGTATTAATTTAGAAAAGAATCAATTTTAGAAAACGTTTCGATATTCATGTTCGACAACTGATTGAGGGTGTGTACGTGGAATTGAAATGAACAACACATCCACACACTTTCTGTTGATAAATATAAAATTAAAGTCTTTTTGAAATATGATGCTTCAACTTCATCTCGTATGTTGTATACATTAAGAGTCGAAAGAACTGGTAAAAAATCATCTGTTTTTCCTCACTCTGGAAATAATTATTATAAAACGAAAGTATCTCAGCAATAGATAAGTATTCTGATGTCAGTTTCTTAAAATCTCGTTCCTTTTGTGGACAAAAATTTGAGACATGTTAGAACTCACTGTTTTGTTTTTGAAAGAAAATCAGACAAATAAACTTAGCTGGTGCACAAAATTTAAACAATATCCTGGAACAAAATTTAATTGTATTTAAAATAAATTTATTATCAACTAGTTTCATTTTAACTCAACCTAATGTCGATACTTTTTATATTTCATTAATTTAAATATGTATGATGTGTAAAAACAATCAGATTTCTCTGATATATTATCTTTAGCTGTCAAGTAAAATAACATAATATCTCGTAATGTATGCAAAGTACAAGAAAAAAACTCTCCTCCACAGTCAGTGGACTTTACTCTTGTATTCTGTTATTCAAATGATGATGCAAATGATGCTGATTAAAATGAATTATATAATGACAAATTCCTAAAAGATAGTAATCAAAGAAAAAGAAGAACTAAGTAATTTTTTTATTTTATGAAACTATAATGTTTTCTGATAATATTTTAATAAAAATGTTCGAATAGATTTAAAATGCTTATTGGTTTTTTAAATGACAATGTAAATAAATACTCTATAATGTCCAGAGAAATGTATTTTTAAGCAAAGATCATCTGCTTGAGTTAAAATGAAACTAGTGGATTAAATAAATCTATTTTAAATACAATTAAATTTTGTTAAAAGATATTGTTTAAATATTATGCATTGGTTAAGCTTATTTGTCTCATTTTATTTCAAGAGAACACAGTGTATTCTGACATTTCTCAAGTTATTTTTCTTCAGAAAAGGAAGGAGGTTATAAAAAGTATGTGAGTGTGACTGTTGATGTTGTTTAAGAGATGATCAACACCAACACCCACACCAATATCAATAAACTAGGTGCAGGCGTGGACGAATGCATGTGACTGTCAATGGATGTGGTTGTGAGTGTTGCTGTGGGTGTAGACATCGGCGTGCGTGCGAATCCTGATCTTCCCCACTCCCACAATCACGCCCACATTTTGAGTAATTGAATATTCTTACTTCAAGTAATCAATAATTGAATAGCTGAATTCAACTTTCAGGTTTAACCTGTATGGACTTTACGACATGCTGTCACTTAGGAAAGGTATTTTTCAATAAACTATTCTTTTCTATCGCGGAACTATAGATCGCTAAGATGACGAAAGTAAAATATTGTCCAGACTGAAGTATTCTAATATGTCAAGAAATGTATTGATAATTACTTACTAGCGACAACATATTGAATTGGTTTGAAAAAAAATTTGAGCAATTTACGAGAAAATTTGAATCATTACTCAAAATTCTCTGTTTAGTTGCTAGTTGGAAAGGTCAAATAAAATGTAATACTTTGTCATTTACTTTTTAATATGAAGAAAAGACTTTATAAAATAGGCTGGTCCTGCCAGTCCCAATATCGTCGTGTGAGAAAAATAGACAGATGGTATCAGCAGTATTTTGAAGATTATATAAAAAACAAAAGAATAAATATAGATCTTCATATAGAGGTACATATTGAGACGAAAAGCCGATTATTTCAATATAACATTGAAAAGGTATTCAACGTAGTGGAATGTTCTTTCTTCTACGATATTTTCATGTTGTTATTATTCTGACATTCAATATAGTTTTCTTTTCTTCTGCCTACGATGTTGGTGTTGACTATCATGCAACTGGAACTAATTTTACTGATACCGTCTTCATAACACAATATCATATTCCAAGTATACGATCAATAGTTTTAGCTCAACTTCAAGGCATTACTGATAAAGGTGCAACTTTTGTTTCTTTACGCATATGGTTTGTTGCACAACCTGATACAACAAATGATCAGCATTGGCAAGCCACATTTCCAATGAGTGTACAAGAGACGATCAATTTGCATCAATATGCTGAAGATGTAGCTTCAATTCAGAGTACAATTGATGGCCATCGATTGCATTTAGATGTTTGTCTCTTATGGTTAGGTGTTGCAGATTATACAATTGGTAATCTAACTGATGGCTTTGGATATTATCATCTAAATACTAGTGAATTTACATCACGTGTCGAAAAGACAATGGATAGTGTCCTTCAAGCACTTGCTAATGTCAAACGTCCGGATGGTGTTTTGCTAGTAAAAACTATTTATCTTGAAGGTGAAGTCATGATTGGAGCAAAAGCAAATCAAGACTGGTTTCTTTCTACACATTACCCACGTTTTATACAGATTGTCACAAATGCTAATTTTACTCCAGCTATCTATTTTCTAATCGATGGACTTGAAGAGCATGTTCTTCAAGCTGACTATATTGATGCACAATTTCCAGCTTTAAATGGACATCGATCAATGTATTGGGTCTATCGTAGTTTGAATTTTCTAAAAACTCAAAAATTACCATTACCATTACGCATTGATTTCTCCTGTTATATCGATCGTGATAAAGCCACATATGCAAATTTAACTAAACATATTTTTAATGATGCATCAGCATCTTTATCTGTTCTTGGTGCTCCCGATTTATATGGCGTTGCTGAAACGTATTATTTCGTTAATAATACACAACGCAAAGAATATGGACAAGCTTTTGCAATTGAAGCTTTGTCTAATTCACGTCTTAATCGACTCAGCTTTTGGACAACACCTGATGCTGGAGGAAAAGGAATCAATGTTGCTTATCCATTTGCTATTGAAGATTTTCTTCTACCTTCTTCATATTGATTTTCAACTGAAACATTTCAATCATTTCATGAATTCATTGTTCATAAACAATTTATGTATCTACATCTGAAAGATAAAAGACAATCATAAGAAATATTTATTGAATAAAAAAAAAGTACAAAAGAAAACAATCAGTTCAATAATGAACGGTCAAAATCTGTATTAACTTATAAGTAAATCACAAAATAGGTCTACATATCATGATTTTCCATGCGATTCAAGCAGGGACAAAAACTATCAATAAACCGACAATGAAAGAAACTGTGGATGTAGAAAACATGTTCAACTATGCATATCCAGCTCACACTGAAAAGAACTGAAGAGACTAGAAGGTGAGAAAAATGAAAAGCATAGTAACTTGAAAAGTATAAAAATAAAATGGAATAAGTTTCATTTCTTGTGGACTTCTTACATCGGTTCTCACTTGAAATTGAGACACCAACGTCATAGAAAATGAAGAAGATTTGTGAGATGTTTGCAAACTTCTCATTTATTCTTGTTTCATATATATGTTGTCGAGGAACTAAAAATCAAGGCAATTTAAAACAGTGGCAAGGCTGGGGACAGAAATCGAGAATTCAGCTCTTCTTGATGAGATTTTTGAAAGATGTACGTGTTTATGATACATAAATGTATTAGTGTTTGTAATGAAACGTTTTAACTCATATAACTTATTTTGTGGTAAAACGTTTGTTGTTCCATAGCCCAAAATCCCGGCTTCATCACTGATTTAAAATTGCCTTGAGTTTTAATCTTTCCTACAATATATGCTATGAAGAATGAAATAGACAATTGCGCATTAAAATATAGCTGTTTACAGTATTACTCAATCACTATTTTTTTTAATTTTCTATATATGACAACTCAATTATGTATATTTCGAAGAAAAGCAAAATCAATTTTAACTAATGCCATCTATTGTTTATTTTCGATTGGCCAAATGGTTATTATTATTGATGTTTATTTTGTTCTTTTCTTTTGCAACTCGATGACTGTGTCATGATCATTTTTTTTTAGTCTTTTACATAAATTCAAATGAGTGACATGTCGACAACAAAACAACTTAGTGGGGATATACTTTCTCCTTCATCTCAACATTCAGAAGTACCACTTGGTACTGCTAAAGACAGTAATTCGAATTCAACTAATGATAATAATAATTTGTAACCATAGTATCATTGTTTTTTCTTTTTACTAATTCTTTTCTTTTAATCGATAGATCAAATTGGACACTTTCAAATATTCAAAAACTAAATGTTAGTGAATTATATACTCGACAACGTCAAAGTTTACGTTCATGGACAGAATTTTTTAATACAAATCAATTTAAAGTACCTGCTAATATTAAAGCTGGTAATAAGAATTTGTTTATTTTAGAAAAGAAAAATTATGTGTACATTTTCAGGCGGTCGTCGAATTCTTTTAAATGTTGAACATTTCCAAACAAATTATGCTATTGTCACTATTCTTTTATCAATCTATTGCATGTAAACGTGTTTCAAATGATTTATTTTGTAACATTAAAAGAATTTTTTTTTTCTATTCGTTTTAATTAGAATTACAACACCAGCTTTACTATTTGTTTTATTAGCAATGGGTGCTGGTTGTTATTTAGTTAGTTTAAAAAATCGCGAAAGTCAATTAGCAATTATGGGTAACAAATTTTATTGATCTGTTAAACGATGTTCTCATTATGTTGACATTTTGTCTCTAATTAGGTCGTCAGATTTCACTAACTCACCAGTATTTAGCAGTGATGTGTCTTTGTGTTCCATTGCTTGTTATGGTTGGTGCTGGTTCAGCAATTTTTTGGATTCTTGGTAAATAAAATAAAATGATTTTTAAATTATTCATTTTTTTGCTTTCAGGTGCGTCAGTTGTTGTCATATTTCTTCATGCCTTGTTTCATCAAACACCAAATCAAGAAGCATATGGCGTACAAATGGAAGAAGTTTGACTGAATATTAAAAAAACCTTCTATTCAGTATTTTTTTTTTCTTTTAATTATTTTTTCTCTCTAATTATAATGTGATATTTTATTGGGAAAGCTCTTAATGCGCACTGAATCTGATGATATTTTTTATTGCACAGTTAACAAGTGATAATATCAGTTTTTCTTTTTCGTTTGATAATACTAATAAAGAATACATACACATGTATGCATATTAATTATTTTAGATGGCATCATCATCAGATTATATTATCGAATTTAAAATAGATGTTTTCAAAACATTAAAACTTGTTGGTATAACAGCAAGTGTTTTAACAGCAATTGGTGTTAGTGCCTATTATATTAATAGACATTTACAAAGTTCAAAACGTATTATTCTACGAGATGAAGTACGAAATATTCTTCGCCCATTTCAATTAACTGAAGAACAAATTCGTCGTGTTATGGCAAATTTAAATACTGAAATGACCAATGGATTAAAATGTGATGATGCAGCAACAAATGATTTAGCCATGTTTCCAACTTATGTACATCATGGACCAAGTGGGCAAGAATCTGGAGAATATTTAGTTGTTGATTTAGGTGGTTCGAATTTTCGTGTTTCACATGTTGTTATTGAAGCAAGAAATCGAATGCGTTTAAATAATAAAATATTTCTTATTCCACATTCATTATTATTAGGTGAAGGTGAAAAACTATTTGATTATATTGCTGAATGTTTACAAAGATTTATTGATGATAATAAATTGTCATTACATAAATCAACTGATTATAAATTTGATTTAGGTAAGAATAATTTTATTTTTTTTTTAAATTATTTGATTTATCAAAACGTAATTTAAATAGTAAACTTACCATAAAATAATATAGAATAGGTTAAGAATTAACAATAAAGTATTCATCTTTATAGAAATGAACATCCCTGGAAATAATTAAAAGTGCTAATTATACAAAGGTGTTTCCATCGTATGTCTACACGAGAACATGCAAGAATAAAAATAGCAATTAAACATTCACCTTATAAGATTTTTCATGCTGATAGATGTAAAGAAAAAGCATTGACAATTCACTAACAAGCGGCAGATTTCGAACAAAAATCACTCGATGGAAATACAAAGTGTTCGCAATAACGAGATATTCATATTATAGAGGCGTTTTGCTGTATATTAAAGATTTATGAATGGAACAGTAGTATTAAATAGAAAGAAGAGGTTTTCTTGTGAGCTAAGTGATTTCTTTAGAATGATAATGGATCTGATTGTCTGTTCGCTAGCAATATGTTTCATTTATGAAATAAAACTTTGATGTTAGAGAAAATAATTAATGTAGAGTTTGTAGTGAAGTGTTAATTATTTGTATGATTAAATAAAACCTTTTGAAACAAAATTTATTCTAAATAATATTGTTTTTTCTGTTAGCTTTTACATTTAGTTTTCCTTGTAAACAAACAAGTTTAAGAGAAGCTACATTAGTATCATGGACAAAAGGTTTTAGTTGTACAAGTGTTGTTGGTAATGATGTTGTTCTTATGTTACAACAGGCTATTAATCGACGAAAGGTACGAATAATTAGATAAAATTAATAAACAATAGATAATATTGTCATTCTTATTTACTTCAGGGTCTCAAAATAGAAGTTGTTGCTTTAGTCAACGATACAGTTGGTACATTAATGGCTTGTAGTTCAATTTATCGTGATTGTAAAGCAGGTGTTATACTTGGCACAGGTAAATCGATTGTTAAAAATTGATTTTTTGTTTTATTCAATAATATTTTTTTTGTAGGAATCAATGCATGTTATTTTGAACATATTGAAAATGTACCTAAATGGGCAGGTCTACGAGATAATACAACAAAACAAATTATTATTAGTACAGAATGGGGTGCACTCGGAAAAGTTTGTAGTCTATTTAGATTCATATGTTTTATTGATGATGAATGTGTTGATTTCATTTAGAATGGTTGCCTTGATTTTATTCGAACAGATATTGATCGTGAACTTGATGAATCAAGTTTGACACCACAACAACAAGTTTTTGAAAAAATGATTTCAGGTAAAAACGAACTTGAAAGAAAATTTTAATAAAATAAATATAAGATTATTTTTAGCTCTTTATCTCGGTGAAATTGTTCGTTTAATTATTGTTGATTTAGTACAACGTTCTATTCTATTTCCGGGTCGTATGCAAAAATCACCAAGTATTCGACCTGATTATAATATATTTCTTATTTTAAGAGGTAAAAAGATAATAATCAAGAGAATATTAAAATAAAATTTGCAAATGACTTTTTTTTTTTTTCAGGAAGTTTCTATGCGAAACATGTTGCAGATATTGAAAGTGATACAAGTAAGAAAAAACAACTAGAAAATGAATATAATGATGTATGAAAATAGAAATAAAAACATGATATGTATTTTAGCGGAAGACTTGTCAATAACTGCTACAATTCTTACTTCAATTGGCATTCATGAACCATCATACGATGATTGTTATATTATTCGAGAAGTATGCAAGACAGTATCACTTCGAGCAGCTAAATTAGCAGCGGCAGGTAAAAGAGACAACTGATCGTATTGTTTGTGTGATGTGTACAAGAAAAGTTGAGCTTCAAAATCGATGCTTACCTATATTTCTTATATTATTTTTCTCATTGTGTTTTGAGACTTTCATGAGCTGATTAAAATTAAAAAATGTTTCTATTTATATTTTAGCTATTGCTGTTCTTATTAATCGTCTCAATATGCCTTCCGTAACAGTCGCTGTTGATGGTACACTCTTTCGTCATCATCAAAAATTCAAGAAAAATCTTATTCGAACTCTAGATCGACTTGTGCCAAGAACAGTAAGTTTTAATTGAATAAGTCTTATAATACTTACGCGAATCTATATTTTCTAGCATCGTTTGGTTCTTTCTGAAGATGGTTCATCCAAAGGTTCAGCTTTAGTAGCTGCTGTTGATCGACGATTAAAAACAGCATCAGTTACATATGAAAAAAGTTTTCCATCATAAATTATCATAACAAATATACTATAAAAACACTTACTAGTTCATTTTTCCTGCATGATTTTTATATGCTAAAACAAACTAATTTTCTCGTTGTATTTGCTTTTTTTCCTAGTCATTTTAGAATATAATATTTCTTCATTTAATGCTTTTTATCCTAGTCTTGTATTTGATTTGACTTTCTCCTCTTGTAGATCTACATAGTTTCGGTCTTACCTTGTTCTTCCTTCTTAGACATTTATGTATTATTTTTTTCCGTCTACATGTCTCTCTTCAAATTTAGCTAACGAACAACACACATTTACTAGTATAACATACGTCTTTGTGGTTTGTTTTATTTTTCTCTAGATTTATTATCATATGCTTCAATGGATGGAATTTACTTGCCTGATGGGCGTCAAGTTGCATTAATTGATCGTGATTGGATTCTTGACGAATTACCACATTTAGGAAATCCTGACGATAATTCCGACGTGAATTATTTACTTGCATCAGCAGCAGCTGCTAATTGTAGTACTAGTATAGCACCAGGTAGTTCAACAGGTCGAACTACATCAACTATTGGAACAGGAACTAGTTCATCACACGGAACATCTCCTCATACGGTTAGTGGAACTAGTAGAACTGCAGATAGTACAGGAACTACTAGTGGAAGTACAGGAGTAAATCATTCTGTTCCAGGAGTTAGTCATCATCATCATAATTTATCGTATAATCCAGACGAATTTGAAAGTGATTTAACATTACTTTCGGAAATTGTTGATGAAACACAAAATAAGTGGTCTGATTTTGGACTTAATCAATTACTTACATCATACGCACGTTCAGTTCAGCCAGTACTTAAATAAAATATCAACTCTTTATTTAATTCATAATTAAGAAACATTCATTCAAGATAAATTTTATTTCCTTTTTTAATATTTAATTTCTGTTATGGTTCTTAGTCAACGTTATATGTTTCGAATGAAACGTTATTTTCTTCGATTTAGTCTTTGGTGTCGTAAACGACAAAAATTAAAACGTTTATTTAGAATATTTCTTATTTTAATTGTTGGTGTTTTAATTTTAAATATAATTAATGGTGTACTTTTTTCAAGCATATTATTTTTTCAAGAAAATTCGAATGAACCAGATTATGATCTTGATACACGTCCATATTATCAAACAATTGAAATGAAAAAACGTTTTGATATGTCTGGAAATTATTTAATTGTACAAAATTTTGTACAATATCAAAGTAATTTAACAAAAAATGCTGATTTACTTGCACTTAATTTACATACAAGTATTGAAAAACTTCATTTATTATTAAATCATGCGAAAGTTTGGGATGGACCAATATCATTAAGTTTATATGTTAAAGGTACTCGAGCTAGTGATGATATTGATTATGCATCAATATGGCTTCGATGTAATCGGAGATTATTAAAAGTACTTAATATTCATCTGGTTATGTCAGCAACAGCTTATGAACGTAAGATGTTTAAATTACTAAGTAGCCCGAATACGTCATTTATAATAGTTAGAGAGTATTGAAACCTTTGAAAAATTATGTCTACACAAAAGCTTGATAGTGTAGCCACTTTTGTGGGGCTAAAATACTACTATGTCAAGTGACACATTACTAGCAAACTATAATTGTTTTCTAAGGATAATCGATCGCTAGAGAAATGATTTCTCTTATTTCTTGATTTCAAACAAAATGTTTTTGTTTGTCTTATTGCTTGTCATTTACATATTCCGTTTTTCTTAATTTAACATGGCGAGTCGCAAAACTTCTACTAAAAACATAATGTAAATTCTACAAAGTTCTTTGATTAAAATTTTGTTTATTTTCAACAGCTTTCAGAATAATAATTAGATACACATGCAATAATAAATTAAACTCGTGATATGATGAGATAAGAAAATATTCTAAAGAATAATTACCAACAGTCATATATCACAAGAGATATCTAGAATAGTATAATAAATTCCCGAGAGAATGCAGAAAAGAATGGAATTTTTCTTCTTCCATTTCAATAATTTCGTTTGATTTTCTCAATAGCAAAAGAAAATTAAAAAAAAAAAACCGATAACAAAAACATTCAAAATTCTTTTTCATAAATTCAACATTGAAGTATTCCTAATGACATGTTTAATTTAGGTTCAATATCAAATCAACATCATACTCATAGTGTTAAATATGCTGTTAGTTGTCAAAATCTAAATTATATAAATCATACTGATGAAACTGATTCAACTCCATATCCATCAAATCTTCTTCGTAATATAGCTCGTCTTGGTACAACACCATCAACTGTACAATATATTCTAACACTTGACATTGATATATTTCCTGCATCGGATCTTTTTCATCATCTTGTTTCATTTTATACTCAAACAACAACAACAGAACAATTCACTCGTACATTATATGTTATTCCAGCATTTGAAATTCATATAGATACAGTAAAACGTTCATCACCATTACCACAAAATAAACGTGAATTAATATTATTATGGAATGATAATCAATTACAACCATTACAAGCTGATGTTTGTCCAACATGTCAATTTTTAACAAATTATCAAGCATGGAAACAAGAAGCAAGTGATGATAAAATTGTTCCATTATTTCGACCACATTATTCACAACCATGGCAACCATATTATATTGGACCTAAAGATGTACCAACATTTGATCCACGTTTTAAATCACATGTACATGCTAGAATAAGTCAAGTAAGAACGATATAGAAATTCTTTTTTTTTGGTGCATTGACTTTTTTATTCATTATTATTTTAGTGTTGTGAAAGTTTTATAGCTGGCTATGATTATGTTGTATTAAATAATGTTTATTTATATCGATTAGGTTTTCTTGATAAATCTCAATTACCAACAACAGAATTAATTGATGATGATACATCAGTTTTACTCTTTGATCAATTTCGTGAAGACCTACTAAAACATTATACAAATACAACAAGAAAATGTTGATCAAAATAATTTCTGTTGTTTTCTTTTTCGTTTTTGTTTTTTGTTTTTTTGTGTAAATCGAAACGTTTTCTCATTTTTTTTAATCTTTCAATAGAATTATAACGAGGAGTGTAAAAGTTCTGCATTCATTTTATTTTCAGTATAGCATGGACGACAACTCGTTGTAGAGAGTTAATAGTTTTCTTGCTTGAAAGAGCAAAGCTGTGTAATAATATTTTGTTCAAAATATTTAGCAAAGGCTGAGCAGGTTTTAAGAACATATGTAAATGGGAAAGTTCTCTGCGTACTTTTCCGTCTTTTATTGGGTTTTATAGCGCGACAATAGAGCATTGTAAAAAATAAAATAAAATTTTCCAAGTTATCGATTGAGTTCGAAATCGATATTTTTCTAACGTCCAATGTGCTTATAACAAATAAATAATTTCGAAAAATAAGATTTTTTTCAGTAATCGAAGTTCGTGTGAAATCAACATATTTTTGTCTATTTAGAGTTTAGTGAGCCCTCGTCAAAAGCAAATTATATAAAACATGATGAGCAGACATGGAATAGATTCGCGTTTTTTGTTTTCAAAACGAACCGATTCAATCTCTGATTATGAGAAAATCTTGATTGGACATTGTATAGAGAACTTTTCCTATAGAGCTCGAGTATTTTGATATCGCGAGAAATCTCTTGTCACTTTGGTTACAGGCACACATAGTGTGCCCGTAAAATGTTGACAGTCAAGTGTAAGGAAAATCGATCAAATTCTTTTCTCATTGCTGATTTTAGGTGGACTTGCAAAGCACTTAAACATGTTCTGAAAACTTTTCAGTCTTTGATAAACATTTTAAACCAAGTATTTTTACACAGATTTTGTAATTAGAGACATTACATCCTTTCGAACAAGAAAATTATCAAGTCTCTACAATGAGTCGTTGTCATATTATATGGAAAACAAATTTCATAAAGAACTTTTGTTTCATTCGTTAACTCGACTTTAAAATAAGACATTATTATCATTTGTAGATATGGAAAGAGAAGAAACAATTAGCTCTATAGAAACAAATTTAATTAATGATTCTCAACCTTTAACAATTAAAGATCGTTTAAAGAAATTTTTTGGTTTACCACAATCTATAAATAGGGAATATATTGATGATAATGAACAATGTTCTTGGTGTATGTTACGATATAGAATATAAATAAAAAGAAAATAAAGAAAAGTTGTTTTTTTGTTATAGCTTCCAATACACTCTTATGTGCAATTGTCTTTCTTGAAGATGCAGTCAATTATCAATATATTGGACATAAAGTAACACGAAAATATTTATTAATCTATCGATGGTTTTCATGTCCAATGATAAAGAAGTAATCGAAAACAAGAAATTGATTTTAAATAGTTGTTTATTGATAAATTGATATATCTTATAGATTAAATCAGATTATGTTGATGATTAATCTTTGTCTGGCATTTTTTGAACGACCATCATCATTTAGTATAACATCAGATGTTCGTGATGAACCTCATCGAATTATTTTTCCATATATTATACTTATGATAATTGAAGGTGTAACACTTCTTTGGTTTAGTTGTTATATTTTTGTAAAAGTAAGCAATTGAAATTTAATATATATTGTTTTTTGATTAATAAAATAACAATTAGATTGCTTGTCTTGGTATACAACATTTTCGAAAACGGTTTTGGATAATAGTTTTTTTAATTTTTATAAGTTATTCATTATGTGAATGGTTTGTTATGTTGTTATTTATAAGTCACACGTATCAAGGTGTATGTATGAAATAATTGAAGAAAATACTTTTGTTTTATTAATAATAGAAATATTTAGATTCGTCTTCGACGCATTTTTCGTCCTATATTTATGATTGAATCATCACAATTGATGAAAAAAGCATTTAAAGCTTTACATAAAAATGCCTTAACTATTATTGCGTATGTCAAATAGAAAAACAATTTATAATGATATGATTTTATTTTCTACGTAGTTGTATTTTATTGGCACTTATGCATATTCTTTTCTTTGCTACTATGGCTATGTTTCTATTTCCTCGATCAGATGTATATGATTGCAAACAACAAAAAGTTTTTTTTCCATAAAATTCTTTCTTTATTTAGACTCGACCAGACAGTCAAGGCAGTACTTATTTTTCCAGTTTACACAATGCAGTCTTTCAATTGCTTGTACTTCATTCGACAGCAAATAATCCTGATGTAATGATACCAGGTAAAAATTCATCTTAATTGAGGATAAAAAAATTCTTATTGTTTTCTATTTATAGCTTATTCGGATAATCGATTGAATGCGTTATTCTTCATCGTTTTTGTTGTTATTGGTAAAATGTAGGCAAATTGATGGCAACTAAACTAAATTGTTTTTTTTTTATTTGTTTATTTAATGCAGGCATTTATTGGATACAAAATATAATAACAGCTGTAGTTTATCGTGCTTTTCGAGGTTATTTTTTAAGTTCAATTATTAATTTACAATTAAGACGACGAATAGCTGTACGAGCTTCGTTTGAAATTTTAAAAAGACGTATAACATATGGAGGATTAATTGAAATAAAGTAATAATTATAAAAAGAAAAATGATTCACTTTTGAGAAAGAGAAGAAATTTAATTTTCTAGAGATACTATACCGATATTACTTGTTCAAACAGTATTAAATTTTGTATCGATGAATAAATGGCATTGTGATCGAATTAATGAAGTAAGAAAACAAAACAAAATCATTGAATATAATTTGAATTTTTCTATTTAGAAATTATTAGAATTAATGCATGAAAATGAAACAATTAATCTTGATCAATATTCTCAAACAATGCAAATATTAGATTTAAATCCAAAATTAGCATCAGTAAGAAAAGAAAAAAAAATTATAATAATAAAATCAAGACAAAAAAAAAGCATAATAATTTTACTTTTTAAGGAACTTAATATTCAAACATTAGGTGAAAATACACTCGATCGTTTAAAAGCTATTTGTCGTTCAAAAGTATTTGATGTTATTGGAACAATATTTGCTATATTAAGTGTTCTTTGTGTTACAGTAAATAATAATTTAATTATTTTTTTAAATAATGTTTTCAACTTTTTTTCTGGTTACTTTTTTTTCAATAGATGGAAGTTAGTAGTCGTCATTTAAATAATAATTACAATGATATAGTAACATATACATTACCTATGGCAATTACTAATTTATGTTTTATATTTTATTTTGTTCTTGAAATAGTACTTAAAGCATGGGCATTTGGTCCAGTAAATTTTTTTCGTTCATCATCTACGCATATGTTAGAAGCAATTGTAGCATTTATATGTTTTGTAAGAGAAAAAAAAATAGATGATTTATATATATATTTTTGTTATATATTGAATTTAAATAGATTTTACAAATTATTTATGTGGCAATACATCGAACACTGATTGTTTCACTAATGTAAGAAAAAGAAGAAATTTTTGCTTTTTTTTTTTTTTTATTGAAATGATTTTTAATAAATAGATACGTTGAAATGATAAAGAAAGAAAAACCAATTTTTTCACTTTGGGCTTCAATAAAAGTCTGCAATATGTTATTTATCTATCGATTAATTCGATTTTTGCCAGCATCAAAAAATATTCGAATTATTGTTGGAACGATTTTTGATGAATTTCGCAATGGTGGAGCTTTCTTTGGGCTTTTATTCGTAATTATTCTTAATTTTATTTTAATAACATAGGATTTAAAAATAATGACAAAAAATGTCGATCTCTATTTCTCTTTGATAAAAGATGGAATCGGTCTGAATACATCAGACAGAACGGCATCGGCTAGTTGGCCTATCGGACAGGCCAGACAACCTGAAATCCGTACCGGTTACATATCTAGATAGTGTCATTTGATGTGACAAAAATATGTCGATTCTTATGTTTCTTCGATAATTATGTTATGAAAAGAATATTTTTTTTTATCATCCAAAAACCAGAACGAAGAATACGAAATTCGTATACGCTCCGTGTATTACATGACTGAATATTACTATCGTATTTCTTCGTATACGATACGGACAAATACAATCGTAACATTGAACCGTGTAATACGCCAATAAAGGACGATTTCGGTTCATTTATGAGCGTGTTTGTTCAACCGGAGTACGAAATATTCTTCTTTTTTAAAAAGTATATGATTTATATTTGTCATATATATATTTGTAATTGAAATGTTCTTGCAGAAGATTTCAACATTTTCTGAGACTAAAGTTTAGTATAATTATCTATTATTTTCGAATATATTTTTAACGAGTCATAAAAGTTAAGAAAAATCCAGTATTTCGTTTTTTTTTGTCTTATTTCATTTTCGAATAGATGACAAATATAAATCATACACTCTTCAAAAAAAAAAAGAAAATTTCTTATCGACTGAATATGAAAACGTTCATTGCCAAACATATTTGTCGAAGATATATTGGAATCGACAATTTACGCTGTTTTTTCTAAATCGTACACAAAAAGCGCGGATTTTTTTTTGAACGATGCCTCTCGTTTTTGTTGCATATTTTCATTTATGAACATATTATAAAATAAATTATATAGTAATCGAAAAAGAAGAAAGAACGCTATCTTTTGATAGACAAAGTTTTCGTTCAACGATAAAGATGTACGAAAACAAACTTTATTGGTCCCAGTTTCGGTCTAGATGATTGCCATCTCTCTTGAATTATGTTCTCATTGATAACTTATAAGATGATTCGCTTAAACCATAGAGCATTTAATTATAATCTTTAATTCCGGATGGTATAACTTTTTTTTCATAGTTCCAACAAATTTCCAAATTTTGATCTCGCACATTCCTATTTAACACCCTTCTATTCAAGAGAAATATGGTTCGAATTTTTGTGCTATCACTTTTACATCGTATGTTATATTAAGAAAGATATGATATTCTAGAGTTTTTATTATGCATATTCAATATTTGGAATGGAATTATTTGGTGGTGCAATTGATGATCTTTACAGACGTTATAATCAATCAAATATAACGTTAATATTTTTATTAATTTTAATTTTTAATGATAAATTATATGTTTGTAGAGTTTGTGGATCTTATGAACAACTTGGATATTGGCCGAATGGATTTAATGATTTTTATGTAAGTTAAAATAGATTCAAATTTAAAGCTTTACGACTTCATTTTATAGTCATCAATTGTTACACTGTATAATATAATGGTTGTAAATCAATGGTATGTTTTTGTTAATGGATTTCGTGCTGCGACAAATTCAATGTAAAGACTTTTTTAAGTCTCTCAATGTGTTTTTTGTTTTAAAAATTTCTTCTATTCTCAATAGATGGAGCGAATTATATTTTATACTCTGGTATCTGTTTGTAACGACTATTGGATTAAATGTTTGTCTTGCATTAAGCGGTGATGTGAGTTTATCATGGCTGTGATGCTTTTTCGTCTGTCTTGAAATCATTATTTTGATTTAATTAAGATTCATGATGCTAAAAAACAACGAGCTGACCAAAATGAAGAATTAATTGTATCCAATATGTATGATATTTATCGGTTAGTAATCAACTAGATAAATAAAATAAAGGCTTAAATCAATAAATTCTTATTTGATTAGATCTCATATAAATGAACCATCATCAGAAGAAATTACACGACGATTAAATCAACATCCATATATTAATTTTCGTCAACCTTCTAGTGAAGGAATTAATATAACTTGAAACATATTGTCGATTTCTTTTTTTTTTTTTTTGTGTCAGGGATGTGATGATGGAGAGATACCAAGGATGGGTATTCCTCCAATGGGTGAAAAACTGTCATTTTCTCAACCAAAAAACAAAAAAAATATTCTTTGTATTGACAACAGAGGTCACAGAATGAAAAAAAAAGTAATGTACCCAAACCCCACGTAATATATATAAATATGTTACGCATCTTACTTACTCTCACAAAATTTTTCTTGCAATCTCTCCATCACATATCTGTTCTAGACAATTTACCTTTCCATTATTATTTAAAAGATTTTTACAATAAAGATATTCATGATTTTTTTCCTTCCTAGATGGCTCATAATCTAGTTCGTTCATTGTTATCATTTCGTGGCATTAATCCATTAAGAGGATCGATGCGTACATTTTCCATTATGTATACTGCTCGTTGTACAGCAACAGGTGGTCGTGATGGTCATGTTGTATGTGATGATGATCGATCACATTTAGATATAAAATTAGCTAAACCAAAAGCACTTGGTGGTTCAGGTGCTTCAGGAACAAATCCTGAAGAATTATTTGCTGCTGGTTATAGTGCTTGTTTTTTAGCTGCCATGGGTTTAGCAGCACAAAATCTTAAAAAACCATTACCACAAACATCAAGTGTTAATGCTGCTGTTAGTATTGGTAAACATGATAATGGTAATTATGGTTTTCAAGTTGAATTAACAGTTAAAATACCAAATGTTAAACAAGATGATGCTGATGCTTTAGCTAAAGCTGCACATAATATATGTCCTTATTCTCGTAAGTTGTCTTCTGTTTTTTAATTAGAATAATAAATTTGATATGATATTATTTCTAGATGCTACACGTAATAATATCGATGTTAACATCAAAACTATAATATAAAATCAATTATGACAAATACTTATTTTTCTATATTAGAGTTTAGTTTAGTTTTTTTCTTTCTTTATTATTTAAATAAATATAAATATATTTTCAATCGACTATCATAGTTACTGTGTCATTAATAAATGATTTTTGTAATCCAATCTGTATAATATGATATTTTTGTATATACACCAAGACCAGCACAACTAAAACCCCATGATATTAAACCAACTAAATGCCAACGACCATTTCTTAATAGAACCATCGGACCACCTGAATCACCCTACGAATAAAAAAGAGAAAGAAGAAAAAGATTTTTTCCAAAATTCAATTTCAATTTTTCAAACTTACTTGACATGCATCACAGGTTGAATTTTTACATAAACCAGCACAGAGAGTTGTTATAAAATTAAGATCTTTTAATCCACATTGTTCACTTGATTGAATAGGTACTTCAACTTCACGCAAATATCGAAAATTTCCTGTACCATGAGTGTCTCCCCAACCAGTAACAACTGTTCGATCAGCAATTTGAACAAAATTTTGTGTTGATGGCAAACATATTGATCGAACAAATGGATTGAATATAAGTGAATTAGATAATTCAAGTAATGCAATATCATGTACCCATCGAGTTGATTTTCCATTATACGAAGGATACTATTTAAAATACAAAAAAAACATAATAATTATTATTCTTTTAAAAATTTTTCAATTTAATATTATATACAATAACAATTTGTTTAATCGTTCTTGTTACTCGTGAACGTTCTGTAGTATATCGATCGTGTACACCAAATTCGGCCATTAGATTTTGTGGATTTGTTCTATATTGATTTAAGTATTTCATTTTTCTATTAGAGACAAAAAAGAAAATAAATCTATAAAAATATACCCATTAACACAATGTGCTGCAGTTACGATCCAATTAGCATTGAGAATCGTTGCTAAATGTTAAAAAGAATCAATTGAGAAAAAAAAAAGTTATATTAAAGTTTAACCTCCACAAAATTTGCCACGATCATTAAGAAGAACTTGCCATGGATGACTATGTGGTACGGCTTGACGACCACCAACAATACGACTAGAAACTTCACGAGAAAATCTATAACCATTTGTCGATGTTAAACCACATTCTATGTCGAATATAGTCGAAATTTAAATATTGACAAGTTTTATTTACCAGCATAGTTTTCTGTTGATAACATAGATGAATTAATTAAATGAGATGGTGTACTTAATGCTTCTAAAAATCAAAAATCACCCAAACAAAATAAAAAACAACAACTCACGTTCTATTTGAATAAGTTCATAATGCAGAAAAAAATTTGCATCAAGATATTGATCATTAAGACGAAATTCAATCATTAATGTTTGTCCCACACCAGCAACACGTACTTTACGACGATCACCACATATTTCAACTTTTTCATGTTCTAATCCTGGTGTCCATAAATTAACAGAACCACGGCGGCAACCTGTTTTTAAATATTCTTCAATAGAAACCGGAATAAATACATAATCAAATTCAACAACAATACGCTACAGATAATTAAAAAGCTTTACGTCAAAATAAGAATGAGAAATAGAATTTGACAACCTGATGTGATGAACCAACCAATAACCATTGACAATGAATAATTGATTCAGTATTCATCATTGTCACTTTATTAAAAGTAAGAACACCTGTATCATTCATGAAACTACGTAACAATGGACAATTAGATAGTACAACAGCTGGTATAGAATTTATTAAAATAATCATAATCAAAAAGAAATTTTTGCCTAAATTTTCGAAGAGAGATACGTGAAGATATTTTAAACCGATGATCATCTTTATTTCTTTATCAATAATCGAGATAAATTCGTATTGTTTTTGCTCTTATTATCATTTTTTAGGCTAGAAGCAACAATGAATAATCAATTCTTTTTCTTCCTCTTTCTCTTCAATGTAAAAAGGTATCTTTTAGTTTAACCTTCAAAAAAAACGAAGAATAAATGTGATCAACACACATAAAAGAAGGTCTCATCATTGTTTGAAGTATGCTGATAGAATTTCTTATTTTGAAAACCTTGATTGAAGTAAATAAGATTTCGTTTTTTTATTTGTTTGTGTTATTAATTCTTTCGTTTTGACTAGACAATTTAACAAAAGATAAACATTACAAAATAATTTTTTTTTGTCTTCTTTTTTTCTGTTACAAACTAGAGAACAATTTTATTATGCACTTTTTTTTGTCATAATAATTGTATGAAGCATTTTTTTTTCTCGCACTTTTGCGTGACTACAATTCGACAGTTAATTTTATTCGGCTTCTTTCTCTTGTTCTTTATTCAGTTGAGTATATGTAGTAAATTGCGAATAAAAGTATTTATGCAAATGATCACATTATCACGAAGAGGTTAGTTCTATTATTTATTACCATCCTTGAATTATGTATATTTCATCGTCTCGAGTATATATACACATCGACTTTATCAGTAAAAAAAAAACAACAAAAAAAAAAGAAAACGAAAAAACACGAACAATGTCATGATCAAGTATTAACACAAACATGAAGAACAACAGAATTTTTGTCGACTTCATCAAATGTCAAGTTCTGATAAGCGCCAAATAGTGGCACGTTTTATGTGTAGGTTGAATGATGAAAAAATAAGAGCAGATGTGAGTAATAACAAAAATATTACTAACATTGAATTCCTCAGAATCTCTGTATCAACAATACGATAGTGCCAAATGCGGAGGTATATGTGCATGCATAGAATATGAGTTATATATAACTTTTTTTTCCTCTCGCTACTCATATTGCCTTCTCCCGCATGCTGAATGTATATTATGATTACGAGCGTATGTGTGTGTGTGTCGATAAACTTAGTAGTAAGTAGATGTGTATGTGCTCAATTGGCTTGCCTATAGGCTCGTTTTTTTTCTTCTTTCTGGCTTTTTCGTCAGTTGTACAGTAGTAAAAAGAAGAACGTATAAAAGACTATTGTCCAGTACCATTGGCCGGTCATTGACTCACACTGGCGTCTTTCTTTTTCTCTTTACTGTCGATGATAAAAAAAGGAAAAAAAGAAAAAAAAAGAAACTAATCTATATGTGCGCTATTGCAATCTCTTGCGTGGTTATAGTAATGGTATATGGGAGAAAAAGAGAGCAACATAAAGAGAGGGAGAGAAAAACGAGCGGAAGGACGACGACCAAAACAAGCGATAGTGGTATGTACACAGTGGAGAGTAAGTTGCTTGCATGCTACCTCCTCTTTTATCAACATAACAATGATTATGACTTGATCGCTAAGGTTCAGTCTTTCTTTCCGTTCTTCTTCTTCTTTTCTCTACTTACTGAGACACCGATGATAGATGGTGATGATGATGATTCCAAGTCAAACACAATTTGATTCTTCCTCTTTCCGTTGCCTTTCTCGTATATATTCATCCTAGACAATGTGAATTTATAAAGTATTGAACGAATTATTCGTAAGCTGATTGAAGTTTTTTTTTTTTTTCTTTTCATTATAGCTTAATTCTTTTTTTTTTTTTGGCTCTTGGTATTTATTATTATATAATCAAGAAAGAAAAAGAAGTTATATTATTAGAGAAACAGAAATATCTTGAGAACATATAAACAAAATTCTTTGTCGTAAAACATGAAAGGTATGTGTCTTATCAACATATTTTCAATATAAATAAAACCTTCGATTATATACTTAACAAATCTCAATATTTGCTTTTTTAAATATCTTCTGCACTCTAGCGATGTCGCTATTATTCCAATGGACCATTGGCTAATTTAGTTTATTTATTTTTCTAAAAAAACAAAAAAAAAAACTTCCCATCTTTATATTCTTCTAGATGCATAATAAATAAATTAAATATATTTCTTTTGGTTATTAATTTTAAACAACAAAACAAAACGAAAAAAAAATCATGTCAAGTTTTCTTCCATCATCATCGCAGACGAATAATGCTGCTAGTAGTGGTATGAATACATTGCAACGTTCAACAGTAAACAATGCTGCAGCTGATGCATTAAAAAAAAAGATGCAACAATTGCGTGATGAACTTGAACAGGTTAAAGATGATTTAGAACGTTCGCGTAAAGATTTAGATAAAGAACGACATGGTCGTGAAATTGTAAGTTTAAATATTTTAAGAAAAAAACAAATATTAAGATTAATAATTAATTTGTTTAGGCTGAATCTGACGTTAGTCAATTAACACGAAAACTTCATACATTTGAAGAACAACTTGAGCGTACAGAAGAACGTTTAACACAAACAACAAATAAACTTGATGAAGCATCACATACAGCAGATGAACGAGAACGGTTTGTTTTGTTTTATTTTCTTATTAAAGATTTAATTTCTACTATTATTATTTTTTATTTATTTATTTTTTCGTTTTTAGATCAAGAAAAATGCTTGAAAATCAATTAAATCTTGGTAGTGATCGTACAGAAATACTTGAAGTACAATTAAAAGAAGCTCGTGCACTTGCAACAGAATCTGATAAAAAATATGATGAAGTCAGTTGTTTGATTTTGTTTTGTTCTTGTTTTTATGCTTTTTATTTTTAGGTATCACGAAAATTATTAATTCATGAAAAGGAACTTGAAAAAGCAGAAGACCGTGCTAAACGATCAGAAACGTAACTGAAGTTTTTTTTGTTTTTCTTTCTTGTTAATATTAAATTTAACTAAAGATTTATTTTTTTAGAAAATGTGTTGATTTAGAACAAGAAATGAAAAATCTTCATCATCAATTAAAATCCTATTTTGCTCGTATTGATGATGTAATAAAATTAAATGCTTTTTTTTTAAATATAATTTTAATTAATAAATATTCATTTAAATATAGGCTCAAAATAAAGAACAAACATTTGAAGATCAAATTCGTCGTCTTTCTCAACAATTAAAAGATGTAAGTTTATTAGTTTATGCCCTTGAGAGATCATTGTTTTAAAGATATAAATAACAAACATTAGGCTGAACGACGATCAGATCTTGTTTTTAAAGAACGATATGATCTACAAAAAGTAGTAGAATTTTTTGCAGGTAGTTTATGAGCATATGATTTTGGTTTTTCATATAGATATTTTTATTTCTCTCTGTGCATTTTGTTTGTTGATTCCTACCTGCATGATTTTTTTATTGCTGTGTTTGCATGTCTAGGCTGAAACTCGCGCCGAATATTCTACCAAACAAGTACAACGGCTACAGCGTGAAGTGGATACACTTGAAGGTTTGTAATGAAAGACAAAAAAAATGAAGAAGAAAAAAGAAGACATTTTATGGCTTATTATACATATATTTAGTACAATTATTATTTTTCATGCTTTTGAATGTTAATTTGGTTTTTCTGCATATGATTTATTTAGAATTAATTTCAAAACTCTAAATTTAAAGAAATTAATGAATAGTTTATACATTAAAGAATATCAATCATATACATACAAAGATATAAGAATTTAAAGACATGGATTTTCGGAGCGCGAGGAAATGGCAACCCGAGACATGATCGGAATCATCTCGTTTATATTTTATTTAAAATACATGAATTGTGACGATATGACATTCGATACAAGGATTACGCGACCGTAAAAAGCATCAATTCGAATGAAAGAATGTTAAGCCTGGTCCCGGTTCTTGTCAAAAAAGAATTTGTTTCCGGTCCCGGCCAAAAACGAATTTGATCCCGTTTCCAATTAAAACAGAGGATGGTTCCGGTTCCGGCCAAAGAAGAATTGGATTCCGATCGCGGTCAAAAACGAATTTGATCCCGTTCTCAATCAAAAGAGAATTTGGTTCCGGTTCCGGCCCCACTAATATTCTCTTGTCCATATCTAAGCGAATCTCTTAATCTCGAAAAATTTTTCATCTTTTTCTAACGGAGTTCCAGTGTTTTGTTGTTTCAGCAAAGTCTCTTGAGCCATAAACCCTCTCTCCAATTGTGATGATATCGGAACATTCATTCTTAGTCGAAAAATTGCAATCATTTCGGGAAAATCTATAGAAAATTTATTCTTTCTTTTGCATATCGCATGAATTTTTTGTTTGTTTCAAATGCAATCTAACAAACAGAAATGTATGGTATAAACGTTCGATGTACATGATTGATATTGAGTTTAAAATTCGAGAAGATATTTTGAAAAACTTTTTTTTGATCTTTTATTTTAATAAACTTACATGTCATTTTCCATTTGTAGAAGAATTACAAACTGAACGTGATCGTTGCAAAACTCTTCAAAACGAAATGGAACGTTGTTTCTCCGATTTACAACTACTTTAAAGATAATCTCAGGATGAACATTCTATTGTATCGTTTATATCTTTATCATCTGTCATACATTCATTTGCTACAAAACATTTTTTTTTCTTATATTATTATTATTAGCACACAATCCCACTTTGTCTAATTGTCAATATATCATCATTGTGTGTGTGTGTGTGTTTCATTTCGGTTCTTTTTTTCTTTCTCAGTCTCTTTTGTTCAAAATAAAGTAATCGCATTCATATATTGTACTTGTCTATTGTCTCAGATAATTTTCTCTGTAGTCATTTTAGTTTAATTCATTGAGATCTAAATAGTCAAACGAAAATTTTTTATTATTATTATTATTATCATACTTTCTCTTTTCTTTTGTCTTGTATTCGTAACAGTAAACATTAAAAAAGAAAAAGAAGATTTTCATCATTGGAAAAAAATCCTTTTTTTTTTTCTATATATACACACACGCATACACATATTTATATCTATGCATTCTTCAGATGTTTATACAATCGTGGGAAGAATTTGCTAAACAAGCTGAACGACTTTATCTTAATGATCCACTAAATTGTCGTCTTTGTTTAAAATATCGAAATGAAATGCTTATATTACGTTTAACTGATAATCATACATGTCTTCAATATAAAACCAAATATGCTCAAGATGTGAAAAAAGCTGAAAAATTTATGTCAAGTCTTTTACGTCATATGGCATCGAAAGAAGCATAAAAAAAATAATGTTTTTAACTTTTTTATTGTTAACTAAGAAAAGAAAACAAAAGAATGATGTAAGAATTTTTTAAGTTGAACAAAATATCATAAAACTTGAATTGTATTTTTCAAGTATTCATCATATAGAGACATCAAAGAAAAAAAGAAACACTCTTTTTCTTTTTGGCTCTTAATTTTTACGATGTATGCTGTTATCAATTCGCACCTTTCTCCCTTTTTTTTTTTCGTTTCTCATGTGTTCTGTTCTCTCTTTAATATGAACACATTTAACCGAATGATTGAGACAAGATATATGAATCTTATTCAGTTTTTTATCCTCTTTCATCCATTTGAAATTTATTGATTATTACATGAGAAGAATGAACATGGTAATTAACAAGCAATCGACTAATGATACATAGAGAAGAAGAGACTTTGATCAATGATACCGACATTTTGATCATTCTATAAAAATGTCTTTTTTTTTTGTAAATGAAATAATGAACTTGAAATTTTATTTTCGATGATTGAAAAAAAAACACAAGACAAAAAGAAAAAAAAAATCAATGTTTTATACAATATCCATTGAATTAAGAAGAAGAAGAAGAATAAGTAGCAAAAGAAAAAAGAAATCATTGTTCGACTAGAATATGCAATAAGAATTAAGAATAAAGTTTTTCTTTTATGTGCTTGTTGTTGTTGTTGTTGTTGCTGATTCATTCACTGCATTTGATAAAAAACTTGCCAAACCCATAGCTGGTAAAGCAAAATTAATTGTAGGTTTTATAGGTGAATGTTGTTGATGATTTTGTTTTGGTGATGAACTAGATGATGTTGGTGATGATGCTGATGAACATGATGTTATTGTATCTGTTGATCCATTGAGTATTATTGATGTTGGCATAGGTCGAGTTTTTGTAGCTGCTAATCGAACAGCAGTCGTACCTAAAGGATTCATTGGTGGTACTACTATTGGATTGATACCCGATTGAGATGGAACATAACTTGAAGCAGCAGCTGCATACATGAAAGAAAAATATGAAAATGGATCAGCAGGATAACCTGGCCAAACAAATGCTGTTTTTTGTCGTTTATCTTTCATTCGACGATTTTGAAACCAAACCTAAAGAAGATTCAAGTTTTTACTTTACTTCAAATAAGAAATAGAAAATTCCAATAGTGGATTTAGGGAACGAAGACAATTGCCCTACGCTTTACAAAATATTTTTCTCAGCAGAAAATACCTAAAAATAAGTCGATACGATCCCTAACCCACTTCACAAGACAGGGAGGGTACAATCGAGGAATGTGATATCTCGAATCAATAAGAGTTTGTTTTTCTACAGCGCAATAATGTTTTATAGAGATTTTCTTTTCCGAAGGGGTGACTTAAAATTCCGACATGAGACAAAACACTTGTTTTAGGAAGCACAATAACCACAGAGTCGAGAAGTTTAATGTTGCCACACTAGGTAAAACACTGCAGCGGAGTCACAAATGTTCTGGGCGCTCTCTTGAAAAAACATCGCGACACTTCCGCACTTCAATGCTAACTGCTTCAGGTCACTCCTAGTAACCATAATCTCTTCCTCTCTTTTTTCAAGATCCTTACTTTAATAGTTGATTCTGGTAATTGTAATTCAGCTGCTAATTCACAACGTCTGGGTCGACTAACATAATTTTCACGAAGAAATTCTTTTTCAAGTCTTGCTAATTGTTCACGTGAAAATGCTGTTCGGTATCGACGAATATTATCATCATTAGAATTTGTTGAATTCATATTCATATTTTTATGATTGATTAAATGACCATTTGTATTTGTTGAATCGTCTATAAAGAAAAAAAAAATTTTTTTTTGTTGCTAAATAAATTTATTTTCATCATACCATTATCATCAGATAAACATTCATCAGAAAATAGTCCTGAATTAGTTCCTAATAGATATGAATTATTAGTACCTAACATGATTGTTATTTTTTTCTTCAAATGAAATCTTCGATTATCAATATTATAGCAGACAATTTTTCTCTTCTCATTTTTCCTTTTTTTTCTTTTTTTTGTTCTGCACATCATTATCACGCTCGTTCTCCTGACGATTATTCGTTCTTTTATATTAATAATTGTATGTAAAAAGAATAAAATAGATTCTATTGGTTGATAGAAGAAGAAGAAGAAGAAGGAGAAGAGAAAAAAGAAAATAATTAAAAACAATGACTGGTTAACTATTCTTTTCGAAATGATCATGTTAATGACGAAGAGAACGAGAGAGAGAGAGAGAGAGATAGAGCAAATAATTGCTAATATCATTAAATATAGAATGAACGTGAGGTGTGAACAATGAGAAGCATAATTAACAGTTTATTTCTTTATGAAAATCGGACTAATGTAAATAGATATTGTCGTCTCGTCAAACGGATAAGACTTTGCATGAACAATTGAGATGAGACATATCACAAATAAAAACGAAAAATATACAAAGTCAGACATAAATGTTGTTGATTAGTTAGTTCTGTTTTGTTTTTTTTGCTCCTTTTTTTTTTTTTTGAAATATTCGATACAACTAATTGGCTCAACAAGACAAAAAGAGGCTCCGCCCTCTTCACAAACGATTGTCTCTTTTCACCGAAAAAAAAAGAACATTTGTATCGGACACATTTGATGGTTTATATACGTTCATTTAACATTTTTAAGGGTCAATAAACATTCATTTTCTATGGCCATCATACCATGGCCGCTAGCAACAAAATGGTATGTCGTTAATCAATGATAGATAATCACACGTTTTCACCTGACCTCCGCCTTACGATCGATTAAAACAAATCGTTATTTTGTTTTCCTTTTCGAAATAGAATAAGAAAAAAAAAAAGAAAAAGACATTATTTTTTTTATCTCATTAAAGGTTTTGTTGCTGATTGAAAGCACAGGTGTCTGCTATATTCTGTCTATTCAGATTGATTTCATATGCCATTTATTAGTAGATTACTACTATCAAAAGATCAAAGTAGAGGACTCTTTTACCTATATACGTTGTTGCATCAACAAAAGGGACACGTCAGGGATTACTTTTTATTTTTATTTTTTTCTCATTTAATTTGCGTGTGACAGACAAAGAGTAGGTTGGTGTCTTCATTCTCCTGACACTTTACTATCATGCAAAGAAACAATTCACATACTGATATAACTTGGCATTAATAAAGGTTAACATTAAATAAATTTAATTTCATAATTAAGCTAATGGTGGAATTAAGGAGAATGGATCAACCTCCTCGAAAAATCTTTCAGCATTGTCTAGAAACCAGATGAATCTATTTCAGTTTCAAACGGGGGCGTTAAGTTCCTTCCGCTACTAAAACTAAGCAAGCATTAATATTCGATCTTTTCTTTTTTTGCTAAATGTTCGATGATTGAATAGAACATAAAAATAAAAGGTTCTCCATATGAGTGACTTCAATCATTTTTATCACATATGTGTAACTGTTATAAAAAATAAACACAGCAGTAGCATCAATTCACTTTCACATGTCAATGTTTACTTATTTTGTTTCTTTCTTTTTTTTTCTGTATTCATATCTTCGACTTTACCGCTAATGATTCGATCGATATTATCATTGAGAAATAAATTTCAACACGAAACAAACCGACAAAAAGATTCAATAGAAAGATAAAGATTTTCTTTGATTTTTTTTTTCTAAAAAAGACAACTAGAATTATAGGTATTCCAAGATCAGCAAGATTCTGGTAGAAATCATAAAATGTTTTTTGAAGCTTATTTTTAAACGGAAGAAGGAAGGGATCGCTTCCAATGTCATTCAAGTTCCAAAATTGAGGAGCTCGCTTCTCACTAGATTTTATATTTACTGTAAATTGATCATTATAGAAATAAAGTACGACCATAAATATTGTCTTTCTATGACACTATATGTTAACAAAGCTTTCGATTAGTACATGTTATTGTCGTTTTCTATTACTGATCTAGTCTCATTTAACATACTGACATCTGTTTGAGACTCTTCGTAATAGCATATCATCTTATATCGGTTTGTTCAATATTGAGATGTTCTATTTCTAAGACATAACTAAAAAAAAAGAGAAGAAAAAGGTCAAGTAAGGAACTTACGGTTGTCAATGATGCTATTGTCATATGTAAAAGAAATCTCGTCACAATCCTGATGATTTTGCTTGTAAATACGCATATTAGTGAGAGACTAAAGAAAAATGATGATTTTATGATTTGAATTATATATATATATGTATACTTATATGTTCGATGATTTTTATGATGGAATAAATGATTATGATCGGAATGAATTTATTTCATTTTTTTTCTTTTTTCTTTCTTTCTTTGCATTTCGATTCGTTCGCTTGTGTTTTAAATCGTTATACAAAACCAATCATTAGATTCAATGATTCTATATATCAATAGTAATAACTATTTTTCGCACGATTGAATGTTTGAAAAAAAGAAAAACGGAAATGTTTTCTTTGTTATTCGATATGAATAATTTGTGATGTCATTTGTAAAAAATTGATCTTAATTAACGTTTCGAAATTTCATGTTCTTTCTGGATCATTTCATATCTGTTTGAAATGGTAATTTTTCTTCTTGTGTTGTTGTTGTTGTTGCGTCCGTTCATTTTACAACTTTCTCTCTTTTTCTTTTTGCATTTATAACATGCGCATCAAACTCTCAAGAGTCATCATACAAATGAAAACAATAATAACAAGTAAAGAATAAAGACTTTCTATGATTAACACGTTTAGTCAAGAGTCGTTACACATTTCAATCAAAGGATTCACACGTACAATAATGTTGTGTTACTGCTCGATTGCATCTCACAAAAAATAGAGAGAGAGATCAAATAGAATAAAAAAATTGGTGACAGTCCTTGAAAATAATAAAAAAGAATACAATATATATATATACATATTTGCTTGATATAATCATTTTTATGAGTTTGATTTACGTCAAAGAAATTCTTCTATTACATTGACCTAGTTTCTTGTCAAGTATACAAATAAAAAACTACCGTCAATATTTACTTGAAAATGATCCGTTAAATTGATTATATAGTTTTTCTTTCCCTGTTATTAAATCTATGTGATAGAAAACAAAATGTTCAAACGAAGACACAGATCATAAATCACGCTGGTCATCTTCATTAGATACACGAAATGAAATTAATTTTTACTTGTATTGTCGTTTTTTTTTCTTCGTCTTCTTTTGAACATAGTACCGCCCATGAAAGAAAAAAAAAGAAATATTATCAGATAAGGGTGAGAGAAAGGCGGTGCCATCGATTGATTTTTTTGTTTCATTTCTCGTGTTTCGTTCACCTGCAAATAAATTTGTTGTCTTTTTTGTTTTAGAAAGACCCATGCGTTACCGTTTCGCGTGCATGAATAGATAAAGATACTATCCACATGCATTTTGTATTTCTTTGATCTAATGAGTAAAAGATACATGACTCTATTCGGTAGCTTAAATAGATGATGAAAATTAGTTAAGCTTTTTTTTTTCTTGCATTATCAAATGATGACCTTTTGTAGGAAAAATGTGATTGTTTTACTACAGACAAAGAAATCAAATTGGTTTTTAAATGAAGCATTGATAGTGAGAGCAAAAGTTATTTGTCAGAACATAAAGAAAATATTTGCAGTAACTTCGTGTCAGTGCAACTATATGGGTTAGTCTGTGGATATTCGATCGCCTTTTCTGTTGTGCTAGGTAAATGGAAAGTGATCTGAAAATAGCTTTGGCAGAAAAAGTTTGCTGATTTTTTCCTCAGATGGCAAATATATTAAGCATTCTTTAGAAACGTCTGATTAATGTCCTATGAATAATTTCAAGTTTTTCAGCGCATATCTTGTTCATTTCAACACACAGGGTTTTTTTATGTTTTGATAGTTTTAGAAAAATATTGTATTTTGAATTATTCAAATTTCGATCAAGTCATAATAAATAGAAGAATCCTTTGACGGTTGTACGATATCAAATGTATCATATTTATGAGCAAAATATGATGTCAAAAGCTTGAAATCATTCATGAGACTTTCATCAGACGTTCCTATAGAGTACTTATAGTCCATACTCCTAGTCTGTAATTTTTTTTGGCTAAAGCTGTTTTCTAATCACTTTCCATGCAAAAGGTAGCATAAAAGAAATAGAGTTTCTTTTTCTGCAAACTTTTTTAGTCCATAGAAAGATAAGTTTTGAAGCATAAAATTACATTTCACTTGGGTAGATAAACCAAAATCAACTAATTAACTTCACTTGAGAGATTTTCTTAAAAACCATATTTACAGAGAGCAATCAAAATGAAGATGTAATGATATAAAAATTATGTACAAAATTGTTCTCTATTAGATTTCATTTTTCTCGTTGGAAAATAATGAGACTGGTATCTGTGTTATATTAATATTTTCATATGAATATTGTTTCAGTTTTCACAAATATCTTCAGAGTTATATGAAACACTACAATAGTTAGAAAGAATCAAATGTTTTGTTTCTAGCTATGTTGATTAAGATTTTAAATAGTGGAAATGTCATTGTCTAACTTTTTCGACTTTTTTCAAAACATTGTGTCATATGAAAATTTTCTTCTGTCCTCAACATTTCCGAATCACATCTGATCATCCTGATGTATTGAAGCATTTGACAAATATGATTGTTGTTTAAACAAAAATTTATGTTTCATATCCCTGTTACTATAACGAGTCATGAATAAAGATTTTTATAAATTCGTTTTTTTTTCATAGCACCTGTCAAAATAACTGAAAAGCTAAATTCAAAATTGTGTTTAAACAAATAAAACTCATAAGTTTTGACTTTATATAGTATTCGCTCAGAACTCTGTACACCCAGGAATACGAATCTTCAAAATAGTGCTGTTAGTTCTAATAACATTCAAATCAATTAGCATTCGATATGTCTCATCATTCCTTGTTACGATTAAAATGTTCAGTCAAAACAATGGTAGGATTTGAAATAGCAATGAAACTGAAAAGGATCCAAAAGCGGAAATCGAAGAATGAATTTTAGCGTAGTTCGATAGATCGTACAATGTTTGCAAAATTCTGATTATTTAGTTCTTTTGAATCTATTATTAATCATCTTTGATAATGTGTGTTTAGAAGAAAAATATTGTATTATTCAATTTGGTTTCGAAGGCTTTATTATTCATTACAAATGAAACTATTCAGCCTACTGAATTGCTTTGTTCCCTCGTTTACTCTTATAAGACTCATTGAAGAGAATACTCACTATATCAATGGGGGATCGAGAGGGTCACCCCCAAGCGTGAAAAATTTTCGTTTTTTTTCAACGAAACCTCCCACGTTTTATATTATTAGTTTTGCTCATCAATGCTGAAACAGAAGGCTTCACTCCTTCTGAAGTCGGATCAACTTTATCAAAAACCTTGCAATCAATGCTCCTAAATCATTGACATCCCTCCATTATGTAGTCTCTTTACAAAATACATCCACTGCTGTGAAAATAATTCAGCTTTATTATTCGGCTTCTATTTTACGTGCTGTTGAATCATTAGAATCAAGTAAAAAGTTTTTCAATAAATTGGAGATAGTAACACTAAACATTTCTTATTTTTTCAAATAACATTATCCTTTCGTATGAAAAAACTTTTTATTCGACTAACAAGAAAATATTCATTGAAATATTGAATATCAACTTCTTATTGTTGTGTGGCGCCATCTCCAAACAAATACAATAACGAAAAAAAAAAAACTTTTCTTTACTAATTATCCTATTAGTTTTATTTTCTTAGAAATTTCTTATTATTTTTTTTAAATTAATCGAATTAATCTGATATATTAAGTAAACAAAGACATCTTTATTTTTTCTTATGACAAACAAATAAATGCATATAGTAATTTTTGATGAAAGCAATATCATGTTAACAATTAGATAAAAAAAAGAACAGCCGATATTAACCATTGCTTCTTTTTGTGTTTCTAGAAATTTTTTTTCATATTATTTTTATCTTTCAATGAGTCGTCGTAGTGCAAAACGTCCACGTTTTAGTGTTGGTGGTCAACCTGTATTTGAAAATGAAGATTCATCAAATCATTCTGGTCTGGCTGTAATCGATTATGATGATAATTCATTATCACAACAACCTGAAACATCAACAAATAGTTTTGACCAACATCATTTTCCTCAACATCAATTTGTTCCCGAACGAACAAAAACTATTCAACGATCAACAATAAAATATACAAATGATGATAATACAAATTTAAATGCATGTCTTGATCATCTTTTACGTTTACTATCACGTAAAGATAAAGAAGGTTTTTTTCAATATCCTATTACTGATCAAGTAAAATTATTAAAACAAAAAAAAAAGAATTTCATATGAAAAAGTTTTTATTTTTAGCTTGCACCTGGTTATTCACAAATAATAACTCGTCCAATGGATTTTTTTACAATAAAAAAAAAAATTAGCCAAGATGAATATTTAAATATTGTTGAATTTCGTTCAGATTTTGAACTTATGTGTGATAATGCTATGAAATATAATCGTCCGGAAACAATTTATTGGCAAGCAGCTAAAAAATTATTAACAACAGGTAATAAATTAATGAGTAAAGATAAATTATTAAGTTTTCGTCGTACAATTGAATGTTTTTCACGTTTAACTGAACGTGAATTTGGTTTTCATATTGATACAATAAATCATACTAATGATGAACAATTAATAAATTCAAATGAACAAAATGATACAACATTAAATGATAATGAAAATTTAATTAATCAAACAAATTCACAACGTAAAACAAAATTAGTTTTTAAATTACCAAGATATTATGAAAAATTATCAGCATTACTTGTTGATGAAGAAGATGATGATGAGTTATCACCTGAAGAAATACTATCTCAAGCACAACACGCTGGTCAATGTGCACGTGAAAAATTAAGTTTACGTCGTCCTATATCAGCATATAAACTTTCATATCAACGTACAAATGGTACAACATCATTACGTTTTATAAATCAAGTTGATCTATCTCAACAACAATCTCAAACACGTACAATAACGATTGGTGAATTAAGTAATATGCCGTCAAGTGCTGGTGGTCCATCAGCTAATGCATATCATCCACATCCAATACCAATTGTTAATGAAAGTGAAAAACGTAATCATTTATTACCAAGATATTTTCTTGATTATGGACCATTTTCATCACATGCACCACAATATGATTCATCATTTACGTCTGTATCAAAAGATGAACTTGATTTATTAATACATACATATGGAAGTGAATTTTCGGCACAATATGCTGTTTCATTAATTGATTATGTTAAAGATACAGGAGATTTAGCTTTGTCTTATGTTGATCGATTTTTATCGACATTAACAAATGGTAAACATGACAATTTAAATATAAAACAAGGAAAACAAACGAATGATAGTAAGTTCTAATTTTTGGACTGTTTTTATTTTGTTATGTAGTGTTCTTCTCATTATTATATCTAATGGATAAGATGAGTCCGGAACCAGTAGCGATCATGATCACAAGACGTGTTTTGATCTCTATTAGAGATCGTATTAACTCATTTTTGGACGTTTTCTACTGAGAAAAGATCTCGAAAGGAAGGTGCGACCATTGCCACTGTTCTTCCTCTAAACTCACCACTGACTGGAACCAGGATCAACGCTTTTCATTGGAAATGAAAGAGAAAATATCGGTGTCTTGCAGTGTGTGATGCTGGCTAGGGCAAATTCAGTTGTCTAATATATTCCCTGCAAATCAGTATACTATCGAACGAGTAGTCCGACACCAAAAGTCGTTAGTGACTTGTCCAGAATCATATTATAGCTGATGATACTGAGATTTGAGTATTGTCCTTTGTGGATACTTGCCGAACAGTCTAGTCACTCAATTATTGTGGCCTCATTGAGAAGGACACGTTTTATAGTGAGATAAAACTTATGCTGAATGTCATATTGCCATAACTCGAGTGTCCTAAATAGACATTGGCAAGACAATCACGCTCATGTCTACTAATGATAAATTAAACTAAATGTAAATACCATTTATTCGATTATTAATTATTCATGTAAAATATTGACTTATTATCTAGCAATCAACGTAGTGACGTACACTATATACAAGATCAGCCATAAATCGCATTAAGATAAAAAAGAAGGAAATATTTCTGCGTCAGGTTAATCTTATGGGCTGATTTCTTGGATTGATAGTAGAAATTAATGCAAAAATTTTTTCTCATGTGGATAAAATAAGTAAATACTTCTATTAAGCAGTATTATTAGTATCACGAAAGCAATATTATCCGTTATCAAGTAAGAAAAATATATGTATATTTGTTTCATAGATAATTTTCAATTGCTATATAAGAGAATAAATTAAAATGAACTTTATAAATGATACTATATTGAGAAAACTATTGCAACATTAAAAAACAAACGATAAGATTCTCGATGCAATCATCTATCTTTTTGATTACATTTCAAAACTTTAAATGACAGCTTCATATAAACTTTTATATTTATTTACAAATACTTTCAAGAGATTTTCAACTCCCTTGAAAATTTGAATTATCATAAAAATCCCGAAAGATATTCTCTCATTCTATTACTACTCAACTAGTTTAATACAAATCATTTGTTTGATTATCTCAAGAGAGATGAAGTTATTTTTCATTAATAAACAGTGAACATAGTAATAGATGAAAAGAAGAACAAAAAAAACCAATTGATCGATTGCAACAATAAAATTCTTCATTCCGATTTTTCTATTTCATGATCATGGATTTTAAAAAACTGAAATATCAAGTTATAAAAACACATGTTATTTGTTTATGACATTGATATGACATGTTATTAACTATAGAAGAATCGTTTCTTTTACATCAAACCGATAAACTTGGATATTCGAAACAGAACAAAAAATCTTTGCTTTGAGCATACACAGCTACAGCATACTTTATTATTTTGTAAACTAAGAGTGACGATACGTTGTAATTTGAATATACTATATGTTTTGATAATATGAATGAATATTCCCTGAAAGAAAGATAATATTTCTATANGAATCGGGCAAGGAAACATTGCAATAGCTCTTTCTGGAAAGTTTTTTTTCATGTTGAGAAACCATGAAAAGGGCCGTGACTCACGGTCACGGTCACGGCCTGGGCTCACCGTGACCGTGACCGTGACCAAAAAAGTTGGTCACGCTGGGCACTAGTGTAAACACATAAAAAATTTGAATGTTTTTAGTACGAGTGGCACTTTCATGTTCTTTTCTAAAGAAAAGTAAAAACTTTCCTTTTCTAAAAGAAAGGAAAGTAAAGTTGAAAAGTTTTCTTTTTTTCTTTTCTTTTTCTAAAAGAGTGAACTAGATCCTGTATGCTGTTCTAGTGAGAAAAAAAAGTTGAAGAAGCCAAAAAGAAAGTCGAAAGAAAGTAAAGGAAAAGTAAAAGAAAGTCAAAAGACAGGAGAAGAAAGTTGATATATTTATTTTGTTTTTGAAAAATATGGTATATTTAGAATGAACATTAAATTTCGAGTGAAACTAGATAGTCTTCGTTTGTCGAAAATGACTTTTACTTTTTATTTGTTAGTGTGCAACCTGTAGGGAACCTTGGAATCATCCGACAAAAACAATTTTTTTTGTTCTATGGAATGATAGTTCATTAGATACAGAATTTAATGTTGATTTCGAGTATATCATGTTTGTCAAAAACGAAATAGATATATATGAACTTTCTTCTGCTGTCTTTTGACTTTCTTCTACTTTCCTTTATTTTCTTTCGACTTTCTGTTTTTTTGACTTATTTGACTATTTTCTCGGTAAAGGAGCATAGAAGATCTACTTCTATCTTTTCGAAAACGAAAAGAAAAAAAGAAAGTCTTTCAACTTCACTTTCCTTTTCTTTGAGAAAGGAAAATTTTTAGTTTACTCTACTTTCTTTTGCGCAAGCAAAGTTTTCACTTTTCTTTCGTTTCAGAAAGTAAAACGGAAGTAAAAATGCCACCCCTGGTTTCTAGGTTCTAATCGTGGTTCCTGATTGGGTGTAAGAAATATTTACAATAAGTAGATGCCAAAATGACAAACAATTTCTTACATATGTGAACTGTCAAAAATTTTTGCGCCGTGTAAGAAATAATCATTTCGAGGATGCGTTTGTTCGAATGTTTTTAGGTGAGATTCGTGAAGCTTGATTAGCATTCGAAAACGCTAGAAAATAATATAAGATTTGCATGCGTGTTTTTTTGTCTGTCTGGGAATTTACTCGTACTCACGAAGAAAATGTTACTTATTGACTATATGTATGTTACTCGGGTTATAAGTCAGATACTAAGTTTTCTTTTATGGTTGAAAAATTATAACTGATTGTAACGTAATCAAGTCGTTTTGCTTTTTTTTGTAGATGATGAAAAAGTTGAAAAGGATGGCTGGTGCAAATGGTTTGTGAAAAACTATATTTTTAAATTGTTTGGTAAGTAATTCCGAAAGATTTTAATATAGTCTAAAAGCACCGTTGAGGAAATAAACGATCTATCTAATTTTTTTTTGATGATTTTTTTGAAGTCATTATGGTTGAATCTCATGTTCTTAACACAGATCCATTGTTTGTTGGTTGCGTCGTCCCAAAATATTTCAATTTTATGGAATAAAATTTGGTTAAGAAAACAACGAATATTGGTGATGTATGTGTGTAATAGTGAATGTTAAAATGTTTATTTTCTTGTCGCTCTTTCACTTCGTTTCTTTAATTTTATGAAACTTTTATGACTCAATATGTTTCTATAGATTTTTTCTCAGTGTTTTAGAAAGAAAATTATCTAAGGTCTGAGTGGATGGAAATAAAATAAGGGATAATCTACTCATTCGCTCGAGGCTGATGTTATTTTAATAAAAAAGAAAAAAACAAAATCAGCAAGAAAATAATAGTTTTTAGTTCCACTGCTACGGAATACATCAAACATATTCGTAGTTTTCTCAGTGAAGTTTCATTCTATAAGATGGATATGGATGTGAGTATCGTTGTTTAGTACTCATACCCAAACCCTGGAATAAGGTTTGGTTCATGTCTACTAGGAATTAAGTTTTTGTGATGTTAATTCTAGTACCCTCTCTTACTAACAATTAGAATCACTTTTTTAATGACGACGGGTCATTAGGTCAATGGAGAATCAGCTTATTTATTTGCGTCGCTATTTCGTGCCACGAATAATCGACAGTTGCAGCTTGCCTGACAAACTGACATATGATAAATTGACTCGTTCTGTTTTAATTCAGTCTATATTTTTACCTTTTGTGTTGACTTTCTTCGAATCTATATCATTCTTTCTACAGCTGTAATGGCACTGCAAAATCCTTCAAATACTTCTCATTCATCAATCCAGGCAGAGCACGAAAGCAAATCAATTTCGTGAAGCTCTAATGGAACCGAATCGAGCTTAGACCCGAAAGTACTGGTTCATGTCGAGCATTGTTGTCTTATTGAAATTCGACAGACAAACTTTTTTGGAGGCTTTCTTTGTTTCTCAATCACATTGCCTCCAACTCTTTAGTTTGACTCACTGCGTTTTAGACTTAGCAGATAAAATAAGTGGTTCATATCCTTATTTGATTTGACATTATGTTATCGATGTAACTCAACTAAGGAGATATGTATATATATATAGATCTTTCGAATTCAGTGTCATCAGTTTCGATTATTGTACTAATCTAGTCAAGATAAGACCAGCATGTAATAAGTTCTTAGTGACATATTTTTAAAATTTCACATAAATTTTAAGTTTTCCATTTTATTTTAGGGTCCAAATATCCTGATGAACAAAAGAAGATCGATTGATCGGTTAATTGTCATTTGTTTTTTTGTTCTTTTCGAATTTTTGAAATTACACAAATGTTGCAATACATTGTTTATCTTCTACTTATGATATAAAAGAATATTCCATATTGTCGTTTCATCATCAGAACGATAATTATACCTTAAACAACCACTCGACTATAATCTACTTCATCACTCTACATTAATTTTATTGTAAACAAAACCTGATATTTCAATGTTCATAGACCTAGTAAAAAATTTTCGTGTTTCCATACCAGATCATTGACACAACTGATAGAGATCCTGTAAGGATTAGCACTTTTGTCCAGAAGAAATAAATAAATCCTGAAAGAAACGGGTCGCCACAAAATTTGAAGATCTTTGAAAAATCTTGTCAGATTATTGCCAATCTTTCTGCAGGATTCTCTTTGGATTACTCACTATCTTGCTAAAAAATTTTCCAGAAATCGGTCAAGAACAATCCAATGTCATCAGACTTCCATCTAAGCTTCCTGGCAGAATGTACTAAGAACCTAATATTATCTATGGAGAGTGTGGGTGTGTGTTTGGATGTACGTTTTATCCTAAATCTCTTTCTGACGCATACCTACACCCTTTTTTGAGTTATAATTAAGGAGTATTTTTAATTAACTCTACGCTTATATTTATAATCATATCAGCAGAAAAAAGACTGAGAAGATGATGCTATAATCGTTTTTTCGATGACTTTCTGCAACTTTTATTAGACAACTTTGACTTTCTCGAAAGTACGTAATTGGTCTTTTAAGAAAAATAAATCGACATTAAAATTTTCATGAAAATTGATCTATACTGTGATATATTGTCATATGCTTTTCGGAATCTTGCTAATACTTTATAATCGGCATATTTGTTTACTAGAAGATGCGTCTTTTGAGACTCTAAAAACCTGCATCAAATTTATGTGAGACTCTTTACACATAAATGCATAACAGAAGCAAGAAGAGTAAACTAATCCATGTAAAATTGACCAAAAAAAATTTATCTATTTCATCTATTGCAATGAATATTTTCGTTTTACAAGGCAGGTTATGATGTACATGAAATATAAAGTTTTGTAATGAAGCGTCCACTCTATCGATGGGTACAGTTCGATAATGATTTAGATCAACAATTCTGTGAGAAAATCTTCGTTAACAAAAATAATCGAAAAGCCATAGTCTTTGACAGACTGATATTCTGAATCAAAACTATTAGGTCACTGAAGGTGTGGATGTGGATTCGTGCGAGACCTGTATTCTACCCACACCCACATCCGGTAGATAGTTGTTCTGTTGCTGGTTGTGACGAAGGCAGTTTTATATGCTATAGTTGGTGCAATGAAGTTTTGTATTTTCATCCCTTTGTTGTTGATCATAAATGTATTTAGTTCATATTGTTCTCTTATTTATAAACCGTTGTGCTTTAATAAGCGTTGAAAATAATTCTAATTATTTTCATTCAACTGTTAAAAGCAACAATTTATCGATCAGATAGATACTCAAGTAAGGTATGCTAATTTGAGATAAAAAAAAACTCCTTCATATCGGTTTTTGTTCAATTTCTACTATATTTAAAAAAAAATTTATTTATCCGTTTAACTCTTACAAAAGTGGCAGATGATACGTTTTATAGTGGCACTATGTTCAGACACAAAACAATGTTTGATTCTCTCGGTTTTTTTTGTGTAAACTTAAATGCGAGCAGCCAGGATATTGACACTAGTGATATTCACTAAAGTCCCTATAAGACACAATACTTTTAAACTTTTTCTAAGAGGATACGCTCAAATATGTTACATCGGGATGTAGAAATAGATTTGGTTTGAGTCTGAGTACCCTCTCTCACGTTCACACTATACCGACAGTGATAGTACTGCTCCACACGCCATAATGATATCGAGACTTACACCCACATCCAAAGGATCTATCGTCGAGCCATCGATCTATCGGAAAGTGGCAATTTGATGGCTCTATATAGAATTTCCATGCCCGTCGGAAGCTGAAATTAACGCATCGAACGGTGGATGAGAACTGTAATAATTTCTTCTGAATAGAGCGTTTTATTATCACTATCAGTATTCCGTGCAATGTATTATTGATTCCTATTCAAACTGTAAAAAATATAAATTCAATGGATTAAGTTCTAATCGGTTTTTTGCAAATCGTCTGACTCTGCCAAAACCGCTAATTCAAAGGCAACATTCTTTTTCAGCGGGACAAGGATTGATATAAAGCTTTTTGAACGTAGTTGAAATATAGAGCTCGTTGTTTGCTATAAAATGGCTAGTCATTTTCTTTGAAAGATCAAAATTTCAACAAATCAAACTAAAACAACTTATATTACAGCATCGCTCAGATTGCATGTAGGTAATATTATTCAGTGACTTTTTTAAATTGAATGTTTAGCTAAAATGTTCTGATGTAATTTTGTATAGAATTGAAAGGTTAATCTTTTGAAACTAAATACAAATTGCTATAATGAAAGCTAGTCAAAAAAAAAGACGAAATACAAAATGGTGTTATTATTTATGGTGCACACATTACAGTAGTAAATAACAGTAGTTCGAGAGAAATCAATTTTATCTTTTTCTTACAAAACAACTATTTTGTCATTAATTGTTATATTATCATGTATGATTATTATCTTCATAGATTTTCTTGCTTTTCAATAAAACATAAAACAACAATTTTTTTGTCTACTTTAATAAATTTATTGAATTTTATTTACATAATATTTAATTACAATCAAAATATCTGTGGATTAGAAAAACAATCTTTTAAATGTGCAGAAAATATTGATTTGTCTTGAAAATATATTTTGTGCATTTTCGTACAGTTGCTTTGTGTTGTCTTTCTTGTAAAATTGTCTGTTACTTTTTCACTATTCGATAATCCATACAAACAGTAAGGTTATTTGATAAACATATTTGGTTTCTCATGTAAAAATTGTTCATAATAATCTTGATGAGCTTGAAAAAGATCAAATTCTGTAAGATAAGAATATTTAATAATTGATAAATTTTGATCTTTTGAATTTTTCAATCGTTTATTATTTAGTTGTTTTTAATTAATTAAAGTTAACTTATTCAATGACGGAAATGATTTTTCAATATGTTGAAAAAAATTCATGTTCAAATGGATGTTCATCAAATAATGATATTTCACAAACAGATTTAAATAAACCATCAGGAAAATTATTTGTTATATAATTGTAATAGTTCAATATATATGGATATGAATACATAAGACACTGGCCTGATTGTGCCATTGAAATATAAAATTCATCTTGGGGACTTCTGATCCCGAAACACAGCACGAGATATACTGTGGCTTTTGGGCTCATCAAAAGCATCCCTTTGGCTCATGCTGGCTTTATAAAAGTTGAGTTGCTAGACATTATATTATATCCATGTAGCTTATTTTGTTCAGCTTTTAATCCTCTATCTTCTGATATAAACCATGAAAAATTTCAATGATTTCTTGACATACAAGCTGGCACCACGACAACAGGACTGTCCTGTCCTGTCCAATCCTGTCCTGTAATCATCTCTGACTCACACGCGTTCTTTATGAACAATACAAAAAGATCTACTAACAACAAGTGATAATAATTTATTATATAAAAGTCGTCAACAAAATACTGAATATGGTGATGTAGATAATAATAAGATAGATGACTCAAATACCAAAGAAAATATACTTGAAGTTAAATTTAAATCTGATCGAAAAATACAATAACAAGGTTAAAAAGACATGGGTGCAACAGCTATAATTGTAATCGATACTGATAGACAATATGATGAACAAGCTATTTTTGAACATATTAAAAATATTAATAAAGAATTAAATGGAAAAGCAAATGAAAAGATATATTGTGGTATTAATAATTATCAAGAATTTTATGATAAAAAAAAATACTGCACAATGAAATGCCTGTAATGGTCTTGTTCAAAATAAAAGTAAGCTAAGTTTATTTGTATTTTCATTTATTTATATGTGACTTGGCTGTTTATTTAATTTCAGTTCAATTTGTGCACCAGCTCATATTCGTGTATTTGTCTGTTGGAATTATCAACCTGATATTTGTAAAGATAATAAACAAACAAGTATTTAATAATCAAAATTTTTATCTAATTTAAATATGATTGCCATTGTTTGTTGAAGGTTATTGTGATTTTGGTGATAGTTGTAACTTTTTACATGATCGTTCTGATTATAAACATAGATGGCAACATGAACAAGAATGGAATGAATAATCTTAGTGTTATCGATAACAACAGTCAACGATATTTTATGGATCATACAACTAGTGGTCAAACATATTACTCACCTCCATGGAATGATTTTTCTTCAGATAATAGATATCATTCTTGTCATTAACACCATCATCAGCATCATCATGAACCTGAATCACATAAGGAATCATAATGATTCATGCTAGTGCACAAAATTATATATTGTCCTTCTCATACGTATTTCTATTCAGTTTTTTTTTTCATTCTCCTCTGTATCTACACAAATTCATGCATTTTATTGTTATATATGTGTGCGTATATTGTGAATAAAACAAAAAAGAACAAAGAAAGTTAGTTTCATATATAACAAGTGATAACTTCGCGCAAAAAAAAAACAGACTTTTTTCTTCAATGTGATAAGGAAAAAGAAAATAATTCTTACATCAGGGAAACCAAGAATATACTTTATACTTTTGATAATTTCTTCGATGTTTTAAAATATTCAAATGAGGTTGATAATATAGTCGCATCTTCACCATCAAAACAGGTGACAGCATCTAATTTTATAAGAATATCTTACGAAAAAAAACAAAACAAAGAAGAATGTAGGAGAGAGGCACATAAAAGATTGAATTGACCCATTAGTAGTTTTCTTCAATAACTCCGTTGAGTCATATATAAACGGACAGAGCATGTTGAGACCAACATTTTAGTATTAATTTTATGCAGTTTTAATCAAATTTCGAAACTTAAAAGCAGTCAACAAAATAATTCATTTTTTGTCATTTTCCTAATAATTCATCATATTATGTTAGATTCAATTTGATAATAAGAAAATAAGACAAAACACTACTCAAATTATCAATTTTACAGCCCTTTGATGGGAGTTCAATCCCATGTACAAAACATCAATTGATCATTCAAATTAACGAGATATAGATTCGATATACTGATAAAGATTGTCAGCATATTTATTATCAGCTCTTATCATTCGACAAATGTTTTGTATTGAAAATTCGAATGATAAAAACAATGATATCGTCCGTTGGACAGTTCTTTTAAAAAGCTATAAAATTATATATTTTCCAAAATCAAAAAGTTTTGACCACTTAAAAAGCTCGCAAATACATTCTTCTCTAGGCTCATATTTTGTGTCTTTTAAATCAATATTTGAAAGATTTCAATTTGAATCTAAACTAATCGGATGTACGAAGTCAGCATAAATGTCTCAGTTGGTCTAGGTGGGTTATAAAAGTTTCTGGAACATTTTCGTTATCATGGAAGAATTTACTCCTGTGAATATCCTTCAGTTCAAGTCATTGAAAATCTCAAAAGTGTGTCTCTCAGAAGCGTAACACCTGACTATTTCGGAAAATTGTTTGTCTATTTAGCAGATCCAATTCCACCAAAAAAATTTACTAATTACTTTAATCATTACATTTGTTCAGATACTTTCAGAAATCATGCATTACAGCCATAGTAGCCTTCAAAAATCAAAAAATATTTTACAATTTCGACACAAGCCAACTCAGATATAATATCTTCATATTCTGATCTCAAAAATCAATTCTTTCGACAGAAGTTTAGGCTTACCAGGGGTAAATGACACTTGACATCTCTGATGTTTTTTTTTAGAAATTTTTCAAAAAAAGGATCTGAGCGAGATGATTCCATAAGTATAAGTTAAATATAAAATTGCTATGAATTATGTACTTAAATAATAAACATTTTAAATAGAACGAAAAAAGTTAATCTAATCGAGTTCTAACTTTATCATGAAAAAGTAAAAAATTCATATTTGATGTCAGCATATATATCTAATATGTCAAAGGTTTTTTTGCGTCACTGTCATCATAAATTCTTTGTTTCAAGTAAAAATTTCAACACATCTTTGTAATACAGGTAATTACATTTTTTCAGTTTCAACACGATTGTAAAAATCATTTTCTATTGTAACACCATTCTCACATCTGTCTACTCAATTTGTAGGCGAAAAAAAATTGACTATCAAACATTCATCACGACTTTCTGTTGTATACAATGCAGAAAAATTTAATTAGCAGATCTATGAAATAAAAATTTGAATAATACAATTTTTTGTTTGTAGTGTTTCATAGAATTCTGTGCACGAATTTATATATAAAGAACAGGAGAGAATGGTGTGTAAAACAGAAACAAAAAAGCAATAGAATGGATTCAATCGAAATTCAATGGCAAAAACAAACCTCTGGTGACGTTTATACTTCAACTAATACACAATACTTGCAACAACCATCAATTCTCAAACTAGGTAATGAAGGAACAAAACCTAAGAAAAAAAAAGTTCAGTTCAAATTTCGTACATCCACCCCTAAAACTCAAGCATTTGAAAATACACAATATAATCATTCAAAAACAGATCGATCACAAAGATCAATTTTCGAAGATCATGATTATACTTCATCATCAACAAATATCCTCAGTGACGAGTAAGATACCATATATATATCGATCTAATTCGAACATAAAATCATTTTCTTTTGTAGATTGCTAGGAATCCATGGTAAACAAGCTTGCAGTACTCGATCAAAGATTCTTACTATCATCATTGTACTTTTTATCATTTTAACTGTAGCTATTGTCGTCGGTGTAGTAGTTGGCATTACGAACTCTAAACAAAGTATATCGGAAACAACAACAACAATAAACAATCAAACGTCATGTAAACGCGTTTTTCTACTGTTTGATTCAGATATTTAAACGAAAACGTTTTCTTAGCTTTAGTATCAACAACAATCTTAGTCAGTAGTATTAGTATAGGAAGTCAAAGTGGATCACCTTGTTCATCGTATACAACAATTAATGATCCATCGCGAAATGTCGCTCAAACTTCTTTATATAGTTTTTGTGATAATGGAGTCCCATTCAATACGAGTAATGGTGGTTCTTGGATACGATTTATTGGTACTGGGGGTACTACAATTCCTGTAACATCACCCACTAAAAACCATTGCGGTGCTTATATAGGAGGCTGGTTCAATGGAACATTACCAACAACAGTGGGTACTGTATTTGACGGAACTGTTTGCTTCACAATCAATGTATTTTCTTGTGTTTATGCCACCTCTATATCTGTAATTAACTGCGGTGGCTTCTATGTTTACTTTCTACCACCTACGCCTGTTTGCCATGCACGCTATTGTACAACATGATTGTGTTTTTTCCTTTTTGTAAGACTGAATATATGATTTCTCCAATAATTTATAAAAACGGAACTTTACACGAATATAGATGCTTTAGTTTCAGCATTGCAATCATCAAATGCAATTTTTCTTAGTTTGACACAAGTTTAACAACTGCATTGTGTATGCATAGTTATCAGTTACATTCTTTTTCTTTTTGTTATTTTGCAAACATACAGTTTAGCTTTGTTTCATAAGGTGAACAAAAGGAGATTTATATGTTGAATAAATACGATGAGCGATTGATAGAAGCCCTTGATAATCGAACTGGAATACTAAGTGCTAGTAGACCTGGAAAAACAACAAAAAGGAACTGAATAACTTGCTTGAACGATTCGAAAATATACGCCAACTAGATTAGCACCAACAGTAAATATATCATCATCACTAGACATATAATCCACTTGTTCATATTCAGTAAGTGTTATTGGATCAGTGGAAACGGTTGGTACTAATAAATAATCAATTTTTTTCTTCTTCAAATACTTTCTTATAATCATTCATGATACCACACCTTACTGGTTGGCTTTGAACAAAATATTTATCATAATTTCTATCAATATTTACATAATATAACATTTAAACATAAAAGTAAATAACGTTTACTCTTGAAGTAAATCATAATTTCCAGCTAGAATGCGATGAGAAACTTTTTCACCTGAACTTTCATCATGTGTTTTTTAAGATATCTTCATATCTATCTTTATTTTCATCAATCTTCTGTGTATGATGACTTGAAGTATCGAATAATAGTTTATTAAAGTAGAAAAATAAAACCCTTTGGTTTCGTATCATATTTAATACCATCAAAACGAGCCATATTTGAAACAATTTCACAGGAATCTCTAATTGTATGAGTTGCATCTGAATAGTGTATATGGCACTCATACTTGTTTAAATGTAAATTCACCGGTTACGATAAATTAATGAACTAAATCTGGCCAACAACAGTGATATTCACATGATAAACGACTGATATCATAGTTGTATTTAATAGCTGAATGAATAGATATCCAATAGGAAAAATAATTGGGTAATTCCATGAAATCTATGCCACTTTTTCGAAGATGTGTCAGTTGACGAATCGTACACCTTCTTGTTAGAAAAAATTGATGGCTTTTGGTAATAATGTGCTATTTAATTCGAAGACGGTGTGAAAAGTTGATAGAACACAACAAATCAGAATTTCGAACTGTTAGCTTTGAGATTTTGTCAAAGTGCGAGGAACATGTCTGTTGAGAAGACATTTTCTCAGTTTTTTGTCAGCAAAAAGTACAATTTTTTATAGGAAATTACCTATACATGTACCTTATATGTTGATAATTCTTCAAAATCTATAAAGTTGCCTGCATTTCTTTGTGTCTCAAGTACTTTTCACGTTGACTTAGAACGAGTTAAAAAATTAGAACTCTAATCCGAGATCTTTTCCAGAAAAGTAGTCTAAACTTGGTGGAATCACCCCATTCTTACATCAGGTAAGCCAATAATAATCTTTTTTTGTGTCTTTTTACAGTTCATTTGATGTTTTAAAATATTCAAATGATATTGATAATATAGTTACATCTTCACCATTAAAACAGGTGACAGCATCTAATTTTATAAGAATATCTTACGAAAAAAAAAAACAAAGAAGAATGTAGGAGAGAGGCACATAAAAGATTGAATTGACCCATTAGTAGTTTTCTTGAATAACCCCGTTGAGTCGTATATAAACGGAAAGAGTATGTTGAGACTAACATTCTAATACTAGTTTTATGCAGTTTTGATCAAATTTCAAAATCTAAAAGCAATCAATAAAATAATGTATCTTTGGTCATTTTCCTAATAATTCATCATATCATGTTAGATTCAATTTGATAATAAGAAAACAAGACAAAATACTACTCAAATTATCAATTTTACAGCCCTTTGATGGGAGTTCAATCCCATGTACAAAACATCAATAGATCATTCAAATTAACGAGATATAGATTCGATATACTGATAAAGATTGTCAGCATATTTATTATCAGCGCTTATCATTCGACAAATGTTTTGTATTGAAAATTCGAATGATAAAAACAATGATATCGTCCGTTGGACAGCTCATTTAAAAAGCTATAAAATTATATATTTTTCAAAGTCAAAAAGTTTTGGCCACTTAAAAAGGAGGCAAGTACATTTTTCTCTAGGCTCATATTTTGTGTCTTTTAAATCAATATTTGAAAGATTTCAATTTGAATCTAAACTAATCAGATGCACGAAGTCAGTATACATGTCTCAGTTGATCTAGATGGAATTTAAAGAAATTTCTGGAACCTTTTCGTTGTCACCGAAGAGTTTATTTCTGTCCATACCCTCAGAGATCAGAGAAAAACTGAAGTCAACAAAAATTCTGCTATTTTTTTTCTAGACACCTTCTATTTTGCTACTTAGAAGCTTTTAACAACTTTCGAGGTTTATTGATCATGTAGAATTGGTGTTTTCATGGAAATGATTTTTCGTCTGATCCCCGACCGGACGAATTATAAACTCTTCGACGAAAAAAAAAAAGGTTCTAGAAATTCTTCAAATCGCACCTACGTCAATTAAGGGTTTTATGCTGATTTCGGAGAGCAGATTAGCTTTGGCTTCAATTGAATCTTTTGTTATTGAAATCTGCTAAGTATTGATGAAAACGAACCATCCCACGAAAATAATTTTCTTGAATAAAACCGCGGTTCGTTTGTTTCGCCGTGTATTCATAATGGTACCCTGGATTTAGTAACCGTGACTCAGGATGATCAGATCTGTCTGAACTTTAGCAGGTCTTGGTAACCTGCTCTTCCAGGGACGGTGTAATGAACTTATACAAGTATCGTAACCCCGAAGTCTCTCTGCTATAACACAGTTATTAGGAGAATAATTAAAAAAAAACATGTTATAGATAGTTGGGCACGACATCTTTGCAGGCTTGCACATTTCTTCATGCTTCAATATGCACCGTATGAAAAGTGTAAAGATAATAGTGGACATTAGATGTGTATTAATCTAAAAATCGCGATACCTCAAGTAGATACCGCGATTTGAACCAAAACTACTGCGATATCTGAAATCGCCACTAATCCAAATACCACACACCTCATTAGCAGTCAATACCATCGCGCTATATTGGAAATTGCAGCTAACCGTGATATATAATACTTCGTTGTCATCCTGAAACAACGCGTTTCAGGAAATCACAGCTGATCGCAATGAAAGAAGTCGCAGTTTTATTCAAAAGTTTGTCCGTGGGTAATGATTGCGACATCTAGTATTTTCCCAGTATCTAAGTACAAATGAATCGTGTAATCTTGCTTTTTTTTTTTAAATGTGCCGTGAAATTCTCAATAAGAATAGTAATGAGAAATCTACTTGAGTCCGTTTTATGATCTTTTCCTAAAGTTAAAAATGCAATACTGTGATGGTGAAAGGCCAAATTATTCAGAGAAAATTAAAAAAGTGAAAATAACACTGACTAATGTGCATAGTATAGGGTGTAAATTATTACTACTTTATCAGATAGTCGCTAACCGATTATTTGGTGATCAAAGCTGGTATTTGTAACGAGATGGACCAACGTCAAATACTGATGAAAGATATCAAGAATAGTACACAAAGAACTTCAAGTTGTTTATACTCAAAGATTGATTGCCTTCTTACGTGCCAGACTTGAGTCGATGAGATTATTCTATCTGGGATAGTGTCCACAAAGACACTGATTATGACAAGATTATAACACGAGAAGATCTGAAGAAATAAGTATACAGAGCATAGAAAAAATTGATGTCAGGTATGTTCGTAATGCGATCAACTCTTTTCATCAAAGAGTTCGTGTCTTTCAACAATATAAGGATGATCATATGTTTCATGAATATTCATGATCTTTATGTTATTGTATTTTATTGCTTTTGGAAAGCAAATGATAATATCATGAAAAATTTTGTTTGAAATAAGATGAAGGCTTTTTCTTAACCTTATTTTTATGTTTACTTCTTTGAGAATAATGGGGTATTTCATCATTACACAGTGCTTCACTTTTAGTCTCATCAACAAATCATCAAACTAACTCGATAGGATTTCTCATTACTATTCTTAAAGAGAATTTCACGGTAGATCTTTACAAAAAAAACTCAAGATTATAAGACTCATCTGTGCTGATCAGAGATGAGCGTAGGACAATTTTTTCCATCCTGTTCTGCCCTGTCCTGCTGATCCCTCCCGTCCCGGCGGGCGGCAGGACAGCAGAACCGTCCTGTCTTGCGCTCATCTATGATACTGTTGTAGTTGCAAAATACTAGATTCTGCAATTAATATGTCTCACATGGTAAAAAATTAATAAATATTTTTTTAAAATTAATTTCTGTTGTCTTGCAGCTTTTTTAAGGACTGATAATAGTGATTAGCTTTTATTAGAAACTCATAAGATGTATAGTACTTTATTTTATATAAAACATCTGCTTTCAAGATGTGTGTGAAGGGAAGATCCATACCCTCAAGTTAAAGACATTTGGAATCTCAAAAGTGTGTCTATCAAATGTGTCAGATGTGATTATTTCGGAAAATTGTTCGTCTAGTTTGCAGATCAAATTCTACAAACAAAATTTTACTGATTGCTTTAACCACCACATTTGTTTAGATTCTGTCAAACATCAATTATTAAAGTCCTCAAAATCTTTCAGAATCATCACTATTTTGATTATTTCGACACTAGATTACTCAGATAACATGTCTCATACAATTTATCTCAAAAAATCACTTCCTTTGACAAGAATCGAGGTTTTCCAGCGGTAAAGAACACTAGACATCTATGATTTTGTTCAGAAAGTTTTCAAAAAAAAAGAATCTGAACGAGATGATTGCAGAAATATGGTTTAAACATTAAACTTCTGCGAATTATGTACAGGAATAAAAAAACATCTTAAATTGAACGAAAAAAGTTAATCTAATCGAGTTCTAACTTTATCATGAAAAACTAAAAAATTCTGATTTGATGTCAGCATATATCTCTAATATCTCAAAGAAAGTTTTTTTTAATAACTGTCGTAATAATTGATGTTGTTTCAAGTAAAAATTTCAATACATCTTTGTAGTACAGGTAATTATATTTTTGTCAGTTTTCAAAGCTATTGCAAAATTTGCTTTTCATTATAATATCGTTCTCACATCTGTTTACTAAAATCGTACTCGGGAGAAAACACTGATTATCAAAAATTCACCATAGTTTTGTTTGAATGCAATACACAACATTGAATCAACAGATCTACGAAATAGAAATTTGAATAATATAACTTTTTGTTTGTAGTGTTTCATAAAATTTTATGCGCAGATTTATATATAAAGAGAAGGAGAGAATAGTGTGTAAAACAGAAACAAAAAAAAGAATAAAAATGGAATCGATCGAAATTCAATGGCAGAAACAATCCTCTGGTGACGTTTATACTTTACCTAATAGGCAATACTTTCAGCAACAATCGATTCTCAAACGAGATAGTCAAGAGATAAAGCCTAAGAAAAAAAAGGTTCAATTCAAGATTCGTACACCCACCCCTAAAATCCAAGCATTTGAAAATACAGAACATAATCATTCAAAAATAGATCGATCACAAAGATCAATTTTGGAAGATCATGATTATATTTTACCATCGACAAATATCCTCACTGCTGAGTAAGATAATATATATATATATCGATCTAATTAGAACAGAAGACGTTTTTTTATAGATTGCTAGAAACTTGTGGTAAACAAGTTTGCAGTACTCGATCAAAGAGTCTTACTATCATCATTGTACTTTTTATCATTTTAACTGTAGCTATTGTTGTTGGTGTAGTAGTTGGCGTTACGAACTCTAAACAAAGTATATCGGAAACGACAACAACAATAAACAATCAAACGTCATGTAAACGCGTTTTCCTATTGTTTGATTCAGATATTTAAACGAAAATGTTTTCTTAGCTTTAGTATCAACAACAACCTTAGTCAGTAGTATTAGTATAGGAAGTCAAAGTGGACCACCTTGTTCATCGTATACAACAATTAATGATCCATCACGAAATGTCGCTCAAGCTTCTTTATATGGTTTTTGTGATAATGGAGCCCCATTCAATACGAGTAATGGTGGTTCTTGGATACGATTTATTGGTACTGGTGGTACTACAATTCCTTTAACATCACCCGATGAAAACCGTTGTGGTGGTTATTTCGGAGGTTGGTTCAATGGAACATTACCAACAACAGTGGGTATTGTAGTTAACGGAACTGTACGCTTCGGGATAGATAGAAATCCTGGCATTTTCTGGGTATCTATGTCAGTAATTAATTGTGGTAGCTTTTATGTTTACTTTTTACCACCTGTAACTAGTTGCAGTTTGCGCTATTGTACAACATGATTATATTATTTTTATAGAACTGTATGTGTGAATTCTGCAATAAAACAACAACGGATAATATATTTAACGCCCAATGTCTATTGTTGTAAAAGAAAACCAAACTTTATGATAATATAGATGTTTTAGTTTCAGTATTAAAATCATCAACTGCAATTTTCGCAGTTTGAAACAAATTTAACAAGTGTAGTGTGTATGCATAGTTATCAGTGACATTCTTTTTCTTGTATTGTTTTACAAACATAGAGTTTAGTTTTGTTTTGTAAGGTCAAGAAAAGCGAATTGATATGTTGAACAAATACGATGAGCAATCGAACGAAGTGCTTAATCTTTCAAAAATGATCCAATCAATTGAGGACTAATAGAAAATCCTTTTCTTGATAATTGAACTGGAAAGTCAAGTGCTGGTAGACCTGAAAAAACAACAACAAAAAACCAATAACTTGATTGAATAAATGGAAAATATATGCCAGTTAGATCGGTACCCACAGTAAATATATTTGTCCGTTTGTTCGTATTCAGTAAGTATTATTGGATCATTCGAAACGACTGGCGCTAATAAACAATAAACTTTATCTTCTGCAAATACTTTCTTATAATCATTCATGATATCACGTGTTACCCGTTGACGTTGAACAAAGTATTTATCATAATTCATATCAATATGTAGATAATATAAAATTTAGATATAAAAGTAAATAAAGTTTTTTCTTCAAGTAAATAATAATTTCCAGCTAAAATACGACCGCGAACTCTTTCACCTAAATTTTCTATATGCGTTTTTCTAAGGTATCTTTATATTTATATCTTTGCTTTCATCAGCACGCTTTGAATTTTAACCTGAAATATTTAATAATAGTTTATTGAAGTAAAAAAATAAAGCCATGTAATTTTGTACTATATGTAATAGAATCATACCGAGCCATATTTGAAGAGATTTCAAAAATAAGTCAAATTGTATAAGCTGCATTTGAATAAGGTGAATATGATAGTTGTACTCGTTTGAATGCAAATTCATCAGTTTCAATGAATTGATGAACTCAATTCTGCCACTATGAGCGATATTTAATTAATAAGCATTAATATCAGTTCTATTCGATAATAGAATGAATCGATTATCAATAAGAGAAAAAAAGTTTTACATCTGGTAAACCAATAAGAAAAATTCTTTTACGTGTTTGGAAAGTTTATTTGCGGGTTTAGAATACTCAGATAGTTTTGATAATTAAGTTTGATCTTCACCATGAAGACAAAAGTCGATCGTCGATGTTTCAGGGAGAAAAGGGTGTGGGTAATCAAAAGAATTATCTAATGCAACCATGTGTAATCGTGCAAGTAAACCAGATGATTGTTTAAATCCATAACAACCACATCGTGCAGCTGGATTTTGTATTGATCCATCTGTATCTGAATCAAGAGCTCTGGAACAATAGTATCAACAAGTTACTAAACACCATCAAGTTTTTTTCATTTTTACATTGATACAAAATTTGCCGCCACAGCAGCTGCACTTCCATGTGAACTTCTGTCAGCTATATGTAATACTGTTTTATTATATTTTGCACTTTAGATCGTTGTCTTTGTTAAACTTCAAGAATCTGCTACAGGTCCAAACGAAATAATGTATGATTGGTTAAATGAAAATGAATAGAACTTGACGAAGCATCAATAAAAGACATCCAGGTAAAGGGAAGCGCTGGGAGAAGGAGAGTCAAAAGATCGCTGCAGGTTCAGACAGTTACTATGAATATTTGTTTTTTTTTCGCACAACTTTTGATGCAATTTTGAAGAGCTTTTTTAAATAGGAAACGAACTGAATCGATCTGTTAAATAGAAATATGCCTTGGAAATAATGGAAAATTACACTAAATGAGCAAATATTTATTTGTGTTGAGCAGTAGTAATAGCATTGTTATATTGTCAGGTGCCATTAATATTCCACTTCACTTTTGGTATTTTTCGCTCATTACAATACAATGTATTTAAAAAGAAAATTTTGCAATCGGTTAGTTTTTTGTTTTGCTATTAATGAAATATGTGTTTTGTCTTGTTTTTCTAAATATGCATCTATTCATTTCTGATTTTGATGTATTCATTTGAGGAATATTTATTCAATAAAAAAAGAAACAGAATATTTGAACAAGCAGGCTTTCTCTGAAAGTTTTTTTTTGCATAATAGACGTCTAGAAGGAAGAGAAGATTCTAAAATCTAGAGAAATCTAGACAGGAAAAAGGGCTCAAGAGTGCGATTTTTACTTGAACATCTTTAATGCATGACTCGTAACTAATTTATTAAATGTGACATGTTTACAATCAAGTGTATGTTCAACTTTTATTATATTCATTTTTTCTATTATTTAATGAGATGAATCTAAACTAATAAATGAATACTTATTTAAGATAGTACATGCTTCAAATATTCATAAATCATATTCATTATAAATATATGGATACCATCGATCATTTGAATGTTGAATATAAAGATAAAGATTAACATCATAATTTTCATTACTAGGATATATTTTTAGATGAAAATATGCTCGATCATTACATTCACACGACTCATCTAGTTTATATTTTCAATATTTTCTTTTTTTGATTAATTATTATTTCGACGAGAAATAAATATATTACATTCGTAATTCTAAATAAATAATTTAAAAAAAGCATCGTATTTTATGTTTTATATGCTTTTTTCATGAATGATACTTGATTTGATGAGTACTTGTATTATGGATAAAGGTCTGTATACTAACTACCACCTTCAGAACATCAATTTCCACATCGATGTGCAATTTTACAGTCATGTATTTCATGGGTATGAGTATTTACATTAAGAGAATGCCTAACCAATAGATACATATATCATGTAAATCAAATAAAGAAAAACCATAATGTAATTGAAGTACATTTCAATTTTGATGAAACAGTCTAATGAATACACGAAGTTCAGGATACCTTTATGCCAGTATGTCATAGAATCCTAAGAGGAATTTATTGATTTTTAGCACTTGACTACAAATTGTTCAATTAACAAACTTCTCGAGAAACTTTTCATAGAATGGTATAAAAATGGGGTAGATGCTTGGTAAATATTCATGTACTGAGAAAATTCTGAACAGAGTACTCGACCAAGATTCCGTGACATACTGGTAAGAGGGTACCTGAACAGATACTCTATTGATATATGCTCCGGTTCAAGAGTACCTTGAGCTCAGTATATTCATTAGAGCAGATTCATCAAATTTATAAGGATATATATTGTATTCATTTTTCCATCGTTTTTCAACTATTTAATAAACAAAAAGGACAAATATATTGTTGTTCACATTTATATAAACAAGTATATATTGAACCACACATGAAATTTTAACATATCCTCTGAACATTTTTCTCTGTAATAATCAATTATTGCAATCATATTCATTATTATCTTCATATTGAATATCAAATGTACAAAACATTTTTAAAATCTTACCTTATTGTACATGGTGTTTGATCATGGTCAAACATATCACAACATAAATTTATTATTGTTTGCATACATAATTAGTATTTTATTTTATATGAATGATCTATAATACCAAAAGAATCATTACCATGACTGAAAAATTTTGAACATAAATAGTTTATAATGATGATATATTCGAACACATGATTAAGAAGATTATTTTAAACAACTTAATTTAGCTTAAAGTGATGATTTAAAATCAATTTTTTTCTTAAATTCATGGTTCATTCGCCATTTGTTTATAACCATATAATTGTGATTATCAAGAAATTCTAGTTCATTTGTCCAATGATAAAATGAATCTAAAAAGAGTTGATGTATGTAATCAATGTCTATATGAAAAAATTGATTTTCAAAATGATGCAAACATTGATTACGAATTTTTCCGTTGAATTGATTTTCAAAATAATATATTTTACTATTTGAACCTCGTCAATCAATATTACTAATTAATTCTATATAAACACCTTCAGCATCTTGAAATGACTCCATTTTTTCCGATGCTGCTTTTCGTGAGAGATAAGTGTTGATAAAAAGGAAACCTATAAACATACCCACATTGCACTCTGATAAATCTTTATTTAGGCATACATTGAATCCGAACTTTCGATTTAGGTTTGACGTGGATAAAGACACTTCTGCATCAATAGAGGTATTGTTATTCTTATGAATATTTTGCTTCTCATTGAGTCTATCAAAAAGAGTTAAGATACAAGTACAACTCTTAATCTGTCAACTGATCTTTTCTCTATTTTATAGTTATTATCATTGATTAGAAAAATTCTTTTTCCTCTCTGAAGGCTTATGCATATATTAATTGATTGAAAAAAAACAGCTTTCTATAAGGAAGTATATTGAGCAAAAGAGAAGAACAACAAATTCATTTTTTTTTTCATTAACTTCTTGCCTTGCAGGTTTTTTTAAGACTGATAATGATGGTTAGTTTTTACTATTTACTTATAAGATAAATGGTATTATATTTCATATGAAACATCTACCTTCAGGGTGTGAAGTAAAGAGAAGATAGACATTCACATCCTCAAATTAGTTTAAATTCCAAAAGTGTCTTTCAAATGCGCAAGATTTGATAACCACTGGAAAATGTTTGTGTCTTTTTTGGATCTAACTATACCAAAATAAAAATACTGATTGCTCTAGGCGTCATTATTTGTAGAGATAAATTGAAAGATCATTTATGAAAGTTGTACAAACCTTCGACAATCATCACTATTTCGATTACTTCGACATTGGACTTTTTTTTTTGACAAAAATCGAGTTCTATTAAGGATAAAGAATCCTTAATATCTCTAGTTTTGTTAATGATGTTTTAAAAAGTTATGAATCTAGACGAGATGATTGTACACAAATATAGGTCAAACATCAAATTGTTGTGAATTATTTACTCTAATAAAAAATATCTTTAATAGAGCAGCAAAGATTAGTGCAATGAAATTCTAATTTTATCAAGAAAAAAAACATCTAGTTGTAATGTCAGCACAGATCACTAATATCTGAAAGAAGATTTCTTTTAAAAAATGACTGGAGTAATAAATTTCATTGTTTCAAGTAAAAGTTGTGACCTTCTTTATGACACAGATCATTATACTGTTGCAGTTTCAAGGTCATTGTAAAAATTACTTTTCATTTCGACATCATTCCTACATCTGTTTACTCAATATTTACTTAGGAATCAAACTCCGGACGTTAAAAATTCACCATGTTTTTATTTTATATGCAATACACAACATTCAATCAACAGATTTAAAAAATAATAATTTGAATAATATAATTGTTTTTTGTAGTTCTTCATACAATTGTATGCATGGATGTATATACGTATATATAAATATACAAAGAGAAGGAGAGAGTGGTGTGTAAAACAGAAACAAAAAACAATAGAATGGATTCAATAGACATTCAATGGCAAAAACAATCCTCTGGTGACATTTATACTTTATCTAGTGGACAATACTTACAGCAACCATCGATTCTCAAACTAGATAATCAAGAGATAAAACCTAAGAAAAAAAAGGTTCAGTTCAAGTTCCGTACATCCACCCCTAAAACTCAAGCATTTGAAAATACACAACATAATCATTCAAAAATTTTTGAAGATCATGATTATACTTCATCATCAACAAATATCCTCAATGACGAGTAAGATACTATATACATATATCGATCTAATTCGAACATAAAGTCATTTTCTTTTGCAGACTGCTAGAAACCTATGGTAAACAAACGTCTAGTACCCGATCAAAGATTCTGACAATTATTATTGTACTATTTATTATTATAACTGTAGGTATTGTTGTCGGTATAGTAGTCGGTGTTACCAAGTCTAAACAAAGTATATCAGAAACAACAACAATAAATAATCAAACTTCATGTAAACACGTTTTCCTATTGTTTGATTCAGATATTTAAACGAAAATATTTTCTTAGCTTTAGTATCAACAACAACCTTAGTCAGTAGTATTAGTATAGGAAATCAAAGTGGACCACCTTGTTCATCGTATACAACAATTAATGATCCATCACGAAATGTTGCTCAGACTTCTTCATATGGTTTTTGTGATAATGGAGCCCCATTCAATACAAATAATGGTGGTTCTTGGATACGATTTATTGGTACTGGGGGTACTATGATTCCATTAACACCGCCCGGTTTAAACCACTGTGGTGGTTATGTAGGAGGGTGGTTCAATGATACACTACCAACAACAGTGGGAACTGTAGTTAACGGAACTGTATGCTTCACAATGAATGAAAATTCTTGTCCTTTCCAGATCTCTGTGTTCGTAATTAACTGTAGTGGTGGCTTCTATGTTTACTTTCTACCACCTACACCTGTTTGCAATGCACGCTATTGTACAACATGATTATGTTTTTTTTTGTAAAACTGAATGTATAATTTCTCCAATAATTTATAAAAAAAAACATTGTACTAATATAGATGGTTTAGTTTTAGCATTGAAGTCATCAAATGTAATTTTTCTTAGTTTGAAATAAATTTAAGAAGTGCATTGTGTATGCATAATTATCATTCACATTCCTTTTTTTTATTGTTTTACAAACATAAAGTTTAGTTTTGTTTCGTAAGGTCAAGAAAAGGAAACTGATATGTTGAACAAATACGATGAGCAATCGAAAGAAGTTCTTGATCTTTCAAAAATGAACCAATCAATTGAAGACTAATAGGAAATCCTTTGCTTGATAATCGAACTGGAAAACTTAGTGCTGGTAGGCCTGGAAAGAAACAAAAAAAAACCAATAACTTGATTGTACAATTCGAAAATAATTATATACCGGCTAGATTAGCACCAACAGTAAATATATCATCTTCACTAAATATATCCTCTGCTTGTTCATATTCAGCAAGTGTTATTGGATCATTTGAAACGACTGGTGCTAATAAACAATCAACTTTATCTTCTTCAAACACTTTCTTATAATCATTCATGACACCACGTCTTACTCGTTGACTTTGAACAAAATATTTATCATAATTCCTATGAATATGTACATAATATAACATTTAAATATAAAAGTAAATAAAATTTACTCTTCAAGTAAATAATAATTTCCAGCTAGAATACGACCACGAACTCTTTCACCTAAACTTTCATCACGTGTTTTTTTTAAGATATCATCATATGTATCTTTATTTTCATCAATATTCTTTGTATGATGACCTGAAATATTTAATAATAGTTTTTTGTAATAGAAAAATAAAAACCATTTGATCTCCTACCATATTTAATACCATCATATCGAGCCATATTTGAAGCAATTTCACAAGAACTTAAAATTGTATAAGCTGCATTTGAATAAGGTGTGTATGGTAATTGTACTCGTTTGAATGCAAATTCACCGGTTCCAGTCAATTGATGAACTAAATCCTCCCAACACGAACGATATTCACTTGATAAACTCCTGATATCATAGTCCTATTTGATAATTAAACGAATAGATTAATCAATAAACAAAACAATAATTCTTACATCAGGTAATCCAATAATAATCTTTTTTTTGTCTTTTGACAGTTCTTTGGATGTTGGAAAATATTCAAATGGTTTTGATAATAGAGTTGCATCTTCATCATCAGGACCAGCAACAGCATCTAAATTTATACGAATATTTTACCAAAAAAACAACAAACAATAAAACTACTTGTCGCAAAAATTAGATCGTCAATATTTCGAGCAAAAAAACCTGGTGAATCAAAAGAATTAACTAATGCAACCATACCAAATCGCGAAAGTAAACCATATGAAGGTTTAAATCCATAACAACCACATCGTGCAGCTGGATTTCTTATTGATCCACCTGTATCTGAACCAAGAGCTCTAGAATAGTAGTATTAACAAGTTACTAAACACAATCAAGTCGATTTCATTTTTACATTGATACAAAATTTGCTGCTACAGCAGCAGCACTTCCACCTGAACTTCCACCAGCTATATGCAATGTTGTTTTATTATTTTCTGCATTTGTTGTCGTTGTCTTTGTTAAACTCCAAGGATTTGCTACAGGTCCAAATGCACCCCAGCTTGCTACACTGAAGAATATCTAGAGTTAATGGAAGATATTCTCCATTTTTTTTTCAGAAACTTAAAGCATACCCCATAGAAAATTCATCCATATTTGTTTTTCCTAGAATAATACAACCATGATCAATTAATCGTTGTACTATAGTACTTGTATAAGGTGCACGAAAATTAGCAAGCATTTTCGAAGCACATGTTGTTAATGTATCACGTAAACAATAATTATCTTTTATTAAAATTGGACGACCGTATAATGCCGAATTGTCTATAAGTAAAACCAAAATGTATAATTGATTAAATGAAAATGAAAAGATCTTTACTTTTTTTTTCAATTGAAAGTTGTTGTTCAGTTTCAAGAGCTTTTTCGAAACAATCATTTGTCAAAGTGTTGAGAACTTTATAGTGTTGAAGAGCATTAATAGCCGAACGAACGGCTGAAGATGTTTTATTTGATAACATTTAAATAGATAGAAAAAAATTAAAAAAATCGAATGCTTCTGAGATGAAAGTATTCATAAAATAATTGGTTTATATGTTAACCATCAAGTTTCTCTAGTAAAAATCCAAAACAAATTTTAGGTGTCGCTATTTGACACGATTGTATTCGTTCTTTTCTCTTTTTTTAACAAAACCGTGTTAATAATAACCGAAGTGTATCATTTATTTATTTTTTATTTTTCGTTCTTTATACTATCTTTTTCAAGCTATGATAACTATTTATACAATTGATTCATTTACACGTGAATTATTTAAAGGTAATCCAGCTGGTGTTTGTACTTCATTTCAAGATGTATCTTCGTCGACAAATCTTGATATATTATTTCAAAAAATTGCTACAGAAATGAATATATCTGAAACAGCTTTTATAACAAAAGCAAATAATTCACCATCAAATTCACGTTATTTTCTTCAATGGTTTACACCAACAAATGAAGTTGATTTATGTGGTCATGCAACATTAGCTACAGCTCATATACTTTTTGAAAAATATCTTCAAAATTCTTCAATTGATGAATTAATATTTGAAACAAAAAAAGTTGGAGAATTAAAAGTTAAAAAATGTGATAATCAAGGTCGTTTACAACTTGATTTTCCTATGGGTAATCCACAACCAATTGAACTTGATAATGAAATATTAAATGATATTAAATCTAAATTAAATATAACACAAGATATTCATGCTATTGAATTATGTCAACGAACGAAAAAACTTTTAATTCATCTTTCATCAATTGATGATAATATAAAACCACAACAAAATTTAACTGATATTAATTTTCCTTCATCAATACGTCCATTCATACGTGGAATTATTCTTACAAGTAAATCAATAACATATGATTTTATTTCTCGTTATTTTGCACCATGGAATGGTATACTTGAAGATCCAGTTACTGGTAGTGCTCATACAGTTCTTGCGGTTTATTGGTCTCGATTATTAAATAAATCAATTCTTAATGGTTATCAAAAAAGTGCTCGTGGTGGTCATGTTGAATGTGAATTAGATGAAAAAAATCAACGAGTATTTTTACGTGGTTATGCTATTACTGTTATGGAAGGTCATCTTCGTTTACAAAAAGATAATTTATTAGAAAAAGATCATTCTGAATAAATTATAATTACAAAACATAATAATCATAATTCATTATATAATTAGGAGAAAATCGAGTTTATCTGTCTATTAGAAGAAAAAAAAAATACCAAATTTTTATCAAATAAAATAAATCAATTTTTAAGTAGTGTGTACATCAGCAAGCAGCAGGTTCACGTTTTTTCAGATTCGAAATGAACCAACTATTCTAGATTGAGGAAGGCTGAAAATTCAAATGACTTATGTTGAATTTGTGGCACCTGATTTTCGATCATTCAAAACAGTTAATAATTTTGGTTTTAAAAATCTTACAAAAATTTTTTATTACTAATTGATATTTATCTATAGAGAGGTACGGATCTACATTAATATAAATCAGACCTGGACCTGCATCTCCCCAAGCAGGAATATGAATAATACAACAAAAATAAACCTTTAAAAGAATGTTAAACATAGAAAACAATGAATGACAATAACGGTTAGGTCATAATGAAACATACTGATTGCAAATACAATTTTTCAATCATTTGCTGTTCATCTATATATCAAACGATGGAAAATTTCAAGCTCTACAAAGTCGTATACTTCGTTTTTATAAAGAATATATTTTTTTAATTTCGAAACAACTAACACACGGAGATACACTATATATCCTCTATTACGAAACTCAAAACAAGCAAACAAAAAAACTATGATACCGGTACTCAGAAAAACACATAGAGATACATATAACTAACATTCTCAGTCAACGTATTCACAATGCTTGATTTACTAATATGAAGGAAATTGAATTGAGTGAGCATCAAACTTATTACAATATTTAAAAAGTAAAACTATTTCAATGTAATGCTATTTGAATTTTTATTATTATTCATCAAGAAAAACATCAAGTGCATCGATTTCAGCATAATTTAATCCTTTCTTGAAAGTTAAAGTATTAGCACCTTGATTAAGATTGACACGAATCATACTTGCACCCCACATATCCCATCCACTATTAACAATTGGTATTTCAATTTGATTACCAGAATTAATTGTTAACAAATGAGTAGCAAAAGCATTTCCTGCAGATCCATTTGCATTTCGAATAACAATTACATATGTTCCAGCTTGTGAACATTGTATAGTAAATTCAACAATACTATCCGCATAATCAATATATCCCATTTTGAAACCATTCGATGCACTTGAATGAGGATGTGGATAAGGTCCATTAAAATGACGTGCATGTTCTGCTTCATATCGATCGCGTTTTTGATCACCCGATGGTAAACGTATTGGTATATTAGGATTTACTGGTGAACCTAGATTTGGTGTTGAATCCATATTCCATGTAAATTGTTGTGCACGAACTTGTCGAGTCCAACCTGAACCAGTGTATCGTGCTGAATGATAAATAATCCAATCTTCTCGATCATCTCGAGATTTTGTAAAACTTTGATGTCCTGGTCCAAAAATAGAATTACCAGAACGAAATATTGGATTTGAATGTTTTTTCCATGAAGATGCTATCATTAGATTACTATTTGTAGATGCTGTTATCAAACCAAGACAATAATCATTTGTCCATGATCCAGATGCTGAATAAACAAGTGATATAATACCATTTCGAATAGTTACTTGTGGACCTTCATTGATATAAGGAAAATGATTCGTTTCCCAATTATATGTTGGTCTGGCAATTTCAACTCTTGTACTACTAATCGTCCATGGATTAGACATTTGAGCAATATATAAAATTTGTCTTTGATTGACATCTCCCTCCCAACCAGACCAAATGAAATAAAGTTGACCTGATGGATGTTGAAGTACAGTTCCATCAATAGCCCATTTATTAGTTGCATCTGTAATTTGTTCTCTCCAAATAAATGTACCAGTAAATGGATCTGCATTAGTATTTTGAATGACAAACATACGATGATTTTCATTTTTATCATCACATGTTGTTGCAGCAAAGTAGATATACCTTTTATAAAAATGATACGAACAAAATTAAAAGAATAGAAGTTTCTCTTACCAACTTGATTGAATAAAATGTAATTCCGGAGCCCAAACAGCACGACATGCTGGACCGGAATTTGGCGATCTCCACACAATTCGACTTTCACCGGCATCCATTGATGTAAAAGTACGTGATCGCCAAATTCGAACATCACCACCTGTGGTTTTTGTGGAATAATACCATCCATCTGTATGTTTATATACCCATGGATCAGCACCATCTTGAGCAATAACATTAAAAAATGTGTCTACATTGAAGACTGGTTGAGATTTAAATTCAATGACTTGAACTGTAAATAAATCAGATTTCGAGTTTTCATTAGATTTAGACAACTCTGAAAAAGTATCTTAGTGCCTTGTTATGTATAAAGAATTTATTAGATGAATATTCTGAATACAATCTATATTTATTTGTATTAAAGTTTGAATACAATATTATTTGACTCGATCTAATTTACTTACTTTACTCAATCAATGATTGTTCTAAGGAGTTCGTCTACCTCCTCTTTTTAGTCTTTCTTTTTCAAATGCGTCAAAAATAGTAATATCAAAACAACCTTGGTTTTTGTATTAGTTGTACGTACCATTAGTGTCGTTTTCGTAAAATTGTTTTATTTCTTCAGTATAAAATGCATGAGCACGAAGGAAAACAATACAAAAAATCCAACTAAGAATATTCAATTTTTTCATATTTCTATCGTTTGAAAAATATTTCAAATTGTCTCTGCACTTATCGACACTTGATCTGCTTTTGATCTTGTGCTTTTTTTTTTAAAAAACAAAAACAGAAGGAATAGAATCTAATCTTAATGTAAGACCGAAAAACACAATAGTGCATATCAAGACTCTAAAGAAAAGTAAAAACAAGGATTAAGTTTTCTTTTTTTGTAATATTGTTATTCTTGAATAAATTGCGAATGACTTCAATTTGAATTACTATTTTTTTATAAAAAAATCGACGTATTTTAGAGTAGTTAAAACTAATATTATATTGTTAATGGTTTGTGTGTCAAGAAAATTACTTTCAAATGGTATCGAAGCATTTATCAAAACTATCGATGTATGTTTATATGAAAGTTTAAAAGATTAAATAAATCTGTTACTGTCTTTTCTTTCATATAAACTCATACATTTGATTCATTCTGAAATATTCTTATTATATTTTATTTATTTCTTTGATAAATGATATATAGTCCCAATTGAATAACAATGCAGACAATGATTGATGAATATAACATCAGAAATTTTGAGATTAATTTTAATCTATTAATTTACATATATTGAATTGCATTTGTTTTTGCCTCAAAGTTTTCGCACAGACTATGACTCACGGCATCTCAGTTGTTTTTCACTTTTATGAAAAGTTTGATTCGAAAATTCATTCAATGATGGATCATCTCACTTAACTTTTTTTTCTGATTTTAATTATCTAGATAATTATGCATTTGAAAGATACTTAAAGGAGCAGATTACAGATGAATTTGAATTCCAATCTTACAACATTGGACATTAAAGTAATGTCGGCGCCAGAAGTAGATGGAGAAAACTCAAGGAGGAATATCTCCTGAACGGCTGTAGCTAGCTACCTGCGGTTTTCACCATTAGAAAGAAAACGCCCAGGGGCATCCACACATGGTAAAATATAATTGGTCAGCAATGGACCAATGAGATGCATTCTCGATGGAAATGTTGAGCACGGTATTCTGGAGCTGTTTCTCAACTTTGCTCGATTGTTAATTTACGTTTTNTTTTCTTTTGTAGATTGCTAGGAATCCATGGTAAACAAGCTTGCAGTACTCGATCAAAGATTCTTACTATCATCATTGTACTTTTTATCATTTTAACTGTAGCTATTGTCGTCGGTGTAGTAGTTGGCGTTACAAAGTCTAAGCAAAGTATATCAGAAATGGCAACGACAACAACAATAAACAATCAAACTTCATGTAAACGCGTTTTCCTATTGTTTGATTCACATATTTAAACGAAAACGTTTTCTTAGCTTTAGTATCAACAACAATCTTAGTCAGTAGTATTAGTATAGGAAGTCAAAGTGGACCACCTTGTTCATCGTATACAACAATTAATGATCCATCGCGAAATGTCGCTCAAACTTCTTTATATAGTTTTTGTGATAATGGAGTCCCGTTCAATACGAGTAATGGTGGTTCTTGGATACGATTTATTGGTACTGGTGGTACTACAATTCCATTAACATCACCCGGTTTGAACAATTGTGGTGCTTATATAGGAGGCTGGTTCAATGGAACATTACCAACAACAGTGGGTATTGTAGTTAATGGAACTGTTTGCTTCGCGATAAATTCGTTGTCTTGTTTTTTATCCATCTCTGTGTCACTAATTAACTGTAGTGGCTTCTATGTTTACTTTTTACCACCTGTAACAATTTGCAATCTACGCTATTGTACAACATGACTATATTATTCTTTGTAAAACTGAGTGTGGGATTTTTGCAATAAAAAAAACAATGGATAATACATTTAACGTCTAATGTCTATTGTTGTAAAAGAAAACCAAACTTTATGATAATATAGATGTTTTGGTTTCAGCATTAAAATCATCGAGTGCAATTTTCGCAGTTTGAAACAAATTTAACAACTGCATTGTGTATGCATAGTTATCAGTGACATTCTTTTTCTTTTATTGTTTTACAAACATAGAGTTTAGTTTTGTTTCGTAAGGTCAGGAAAAAGAAATTGATATGTTGAACAAATACGATGAGCAATCGAAAGAAGTGCTTGATCTTTCAAAAATCGACTAATCAATTGAAAATTAATAGAAAATCCTTTGCTTGATAATCGAACTGAAAAAATAAGTGCTGGTAGACCTGAAAAGAAACAAAAAAAAACAATAAGCTGATTGAACAATTCGAAAATAATTATATGCTAACTAGATTAGTACCAATAGTAAATATATCGTCCGCTTGTTCATATTCTGTAAGTGTTAGTGTGTCATTCGAAATCACTAGTGCTAATAAACAATAAATTTTATCTTCTTCAAATACTTTCTTATAACCATTCACGACACCTCGTCTTACTTGTTAACCCTTTCAGATTCATGGCTCAGTCAATGGCTGAAATGTCTTTGAGATTTTATATTTAATATGGACAATGTGCATTGTGAATATCTTCATGAAAGCTTTGTAAAAAAGTCTTCAAAGTCATTTTGGACTCATGCCCGTACTCCCCCACGGAGATGGCGAAGAAGCAGTTCGATCATCGCCGTAGTGAGGTACGGGTATGAATCAAAATTCGATTGAGAGCTATTACAAAATCAAACTTTGAAATGCCATTAGGAGTCACTCTTAATGTGATTTCAACACGGAAAAACCGAAATGTTTTGGGTTCTGCAAAAGGGCATTATGTGCCATTTTTCTAGAGTTAGTATCCCAAAATTCCATCAGGCGTACTAGCTGAGTGACCTCATTAAAGTTATGATTCTCCTATACGTGCATTCAGTGAAGTCTCTTCTATGTCATAGAGAAAGCCGCAACTAAATATCTTTTTACGTTCACAAGTTATTACAAGATTACGAAACTTGGCAAAAGTGTCTTTTATTCAGGACACTGGACCTGAAAGGGTTAAATGAATAAATAATCAATAAGAAAGTTAATCAATAATTCTTACATCAGGTAAACCAATAGTTTGTTTTTTTTGGTTTTGACAGTTCTTTCGATGTTTTAAAATATTCAAATAATGTTGACAATATAGTTGCATCTTCACCATCAGGACTAGCAACAGCATCTAAATTTATACGAACATTGTACCAAAAAAAGTAAAACATCATAAAATTACTTGTCGCAAAAATTAGATTGTCAATATTTCGAGCAAAAAAAATCTGGTGAATCAAAAGAATTAACTAATGCAACCATATCAAGTCGTGAAAGTCAACCCTATAATGATTTAAATCCATAACAACTACATCATGCAACTGACTTTCATATTGATCAATCTGTATTTGATGAAAGAGCTATAAAATAGTAGTATTAACTAGTGTCGGATTTTAAAAAAAAGTGTCAACCACTACTTTTTGAATAAATTCCAATCATTTATAGATATTGAAGTTGAGTATTTGCCATTAGATAGAACAACATTTGGAGCGTCTATCTACGTAACATTCATTAAGTTCGAAGAAGATTTTTAAGGATATTTGGAATTGAACATTCTTGTTGTTCATTTCTACAACTTTTCGTAACAATCTATGTTCAAATTGTATCAAAATCTAGCTCGAAGAGTGTTGTGTTCCCTATATACTTTTTCGATTTTTTCATCCTCACATGGGACTCATTCTTCAGGAAAAGTGTTGCGAAATCTGTAAATTCTATGGATAATATACCTCTCTTTGGGCTGTATTTTGGTGTAATTTGAGGATAGGTTCCTACGAAAAGTTGTAGAAATGGATAACAAAAAAATGTTCAAGTGTAAATGTCTTTGAAAAACTTCTTCGAACTTGATGAATGCTACACAGATAGACGGTTCCACATTGTTCTATCCAATGACGAAAACTCAATTTCGATAGCTATGAACAATCGGAAGCTATGCAAAAAATGATCGTTGACCTTTTTAAAATTTTTTACAGTAGTTACTGAACACAATCCATTGCTTTCCTTTTTACACTGATACAACGTTCGCTGCTACAGCTGCTGTACTTCCGTCAACTACATTTAACTCTGTTTGATTATTTTCTACATTTGTTGTCCTTGCCTTTGTTAAACTTCAAGGATTTGCTACAGATCCAAATGCACCTCATCTTCCTATATTGAAGAATATCTTGCGTTAATGAAGGATATTTTCTTTTTCAAAAATCTAAAGCATTACCCGATGGAAAGGGTGTGAGTGTGGGTGGGTGTGGGTGTGGGTGTGGGTGTGGGTGGGCGGGGTGTGGGTGTGGGGTGTGTGGGTGGGGTGTGGGTGGGGTGTGTGTGTGGGGTGTGGGTGTGGGTGTCGGTGGGCGTGTGGGTGTGCGTGTGTGTGGGTGGGGGCCGCTCNTGGTTTTATGTTTTTTTTTCTAAATAAAATCTTTTCAAATTTCTAGGGTGATATTTCTATTGATGATATTGACCGTTTAGCTGTATCATGTAAAGAACCAAATAATTGTGATTTTGAAGGTGATACTTTTTGTGGATGGGAAAATGTTAAACATACTGATCGATTTGATTGGGAAATAACAAATGGTCCATCATCACAAACAACGCTTAGTGGTAAAAAAATAGATTGAAATCGAACATGTTTTTAAATTTCTATTGTCTTTTTTTTTTGTTATAGGTCCAGGATTTGATCATACACTTGGAACAGTCAATGGTTTATATGGATATATTGATACAAATAAACCGCGAAAAATTAATGATACCGCTGTACTTATTTCACATTCAATGACAGATACTGGTTCAAATGGAATGTGTTTTGAATTTTTCTATCATATGTAAATATCGAAAGAAATGAATACAATTGTTATACTATCAAAAAAAGTCATATAAATTATAGTTAATTTTTTGTTTAGCATTGAATTTTATATTTCAATAGAAGGACAAACTTTATTTAAAATTTATCTTTTTAGGTACGGCGTTGGTATTGGTACATTAACAGTTTATTTACAAAAAGAAGGTTTTCAACCAATAGCAATGTGGACATTATCTGGTCACCAAGACGATTTTTGGTTTCAAGGAAAAGTTGGTTTTATCGTGAATTCTGATCATTCAATATTAATCGAAGGCAAAATAACTGACAATGATGTGGGTGATATCGCTATTGATGATTTATCGATAATCAATGGATATTGTCCAATATTTCCAGCATCTGCTATATCAGCTGATAGTTTAACAACAGCAGAACCAGTCGTAACAACAGGAATGTCAGTTGAAAAATTTGACTTCATGATGTCTTAATAATATAATTTTTAATGAGTTTTGTTGGTGTTTTTAATTAGAACAACTCCACCACGTCCAATATCGGCTTATGATTGTGATTTTGAAAGTGATACATGTTCATCATGGAATATAATATCTGAACCTGAACTTAGTTGGACACGAATTCAAGGTCCGACAGCATCACAACAAGATGCACATAATCCAATATTTGATCATACAAAATATCAATCAAACGGACATTATCTTTTACTTCAATCCAATGAATCAATACCATTTCCTGACGTAGGAAAAAATACAAGGTCAAGTTTCTTCCTTTTGGAAATATATTCTTTTGTTTATTATAGATGAATATATCAAGTCAATTTCTAAGTACAACAATGAATAATAATCGTCAATGTTTAGAATTTTGGTATTTTATCTATGGTCCAAAGGTTGGTACGCTAAGTGTTGAAAAAATTTTTGGTTCTTTTTCTCAGTTACGATGGATAACAAAAAGTGGCAAAGGTTATGAATGGTATCATGCACAAGTTAATCTTCAATCATCGTCAAGTAATCCAGCACAATTTAATGTTTGTTATGTTTTTTTAGAAAAAATTCTTTTCTATTAGTTATATCGTTTTTCTTTTCTTCTTATCTAGATTGTTATTGAAGGAACATGGTCAGCAATTAATCGTGGTGCAATTGCTATTGATGATATAACACTTCGTAATGATACATGTCAAACATCGCCTAATCAATGTGATTTTGATTTAGATGATACAATTTGTGGTATGTTAAGAGAAAAAGAAAAATATTTTATAATAATCATACAAAAATTTCTTTTTTAGAATTTCAATATGGTTCAACAGGAGAATTTAATTGGATACGTGGTTTAGCATCTGATGTTCAACAAGGTGTTAATCCTAATGTTGATCATACAACACAAACTGATACAGGTTATTATATGTTAGCTGAAGGAAAAAATCGTAATGCTAGTGATCGTGCATTACTTTTAACACCAGTTCAAGTTCGTACAGCTGGTGCATGTTTACATTTTTGGTATTTTCTATATTCATCAGCGAAAAAAATGCAATTAAAGGTTTATTTATCTCCTTCAAGTCTATATAATTGGATCTTTGGTGGTAGTTTTGATAATCGTTGGTTATATACACAAATCAATATTCAGAATCCTAGTCAATCCTGGCAAGCAGTATTTGAAGCTCAAGTTTTAACACAAAATCCAAATGCAAGTATTGCTATTGATGATGTCTTGATTACGGGAGGTTTATGTCCAAAACCAGGAGATTGTACATTTGAAGATGATTTATGTGGTTGGACAACTAATGATATAGATAATGATATGGATTGGCTTATTGGACAAGGTATACGTCCACTTGGAACTGGACCACAATCTGGTATGATAGAAATATATATTGGATTGATTTTGACAATTTTTAGCTTGTTATTTTAATAGATCATACAACAAATACAGGACAAGGAAAATATTTAATGATTGAAACATCATGGCCAACAAAGCCAGGTGATCGTGCACGTTTACATAGTGTTGTTTTTGAGGGAACAAATGGAGATGCTAAATGTTTTCGATTTTGGTATCACATGTAAGTTCATATCTTTGGCGAGAATCTATTATTGATAGTCTTTTTTGTGTCTTTTAGGTATGGTGATTCAATTGGAACATTAAATATTTATCTTTTCGATGGTTCATATACACGTATATGGTCATTATCAGGTAGTCATGGTAATCAATGGTACGAAGGACAAGTATCATATGTTTCATTGGTTCCACATGAAATTGTTGTTGAAGGTATTGCTGGAAACGATTATTTGGTAAAAATCAAAATTTATTTGTTTATTTTCTTTTTAATTTGAAATTTTGTTTTATTTAGGGAGGTATCTCCGTTGATGATTTTACATTTACAATAAGTAATTGTTCAATTCGACCAATGAATAATACAGTACCAACAATTGGAACAACACTTCTATCAACACAATTAACAATCACTACACCATATACAAGTTCACCTACCACATCATATACAGATCCACTAACAACAACCACTAGACTGACTACAACTGCATCCATAGGAATACTAACGACAACAACTGATATCACTCAAATAAATCCAACTACTTCTGCTGGTAAAGTTTTTTTTATCTTGTTTTAAAGAAAAAGATAGTCTCGTTTCTTTATTATGACTAGAATGTGCTCAATATGTTTGCTATAATGATGGTATTTGTAAACCATCATCAACACAACTTGGCCAAACTATGTGCGAGTATGTGTATTTTCTTAAATAGATATATATTTTTTCATCGAACAAAATTTCGTTAAGATGTAAACCTGGTTTTAATGGTCCAAAATGTGAAAATAAGGAATCCTCATCAACAAAGAATAATTGTAAGTAAAATATTCTTTTCAATTATAAATTATTTTATTTCATTTATATATTTCTAGTGGGTGCTATCTTGGGTGGAGTTTTTGGTGGAGTTGCTGCTATTGCTTTAAGTGTCGTTGGATATATGTATTTTTCATCGAAAAAGCGTATAGCTAGGTTTAAATGAAAAAAATGACTTTTATTTTTCAGTTTAAATTATTTATCATTTTGTTATGTTTTTTTAGAGTTGCAAATACAAGTTCACAACTAACAGACCCATTACAAAATGATTCAAATAAAAATCCTACTTATAATGAAACTGCAGTAGTTGATGCATAAAACCATTGAACTAGCTTTCTTATCTATAATATGAATTTTTTGTTGTTGTTTAGAGAAAGCATTATTTGTAGGGTTACACGTTTTCTATTAATAATATTTATAAAACAAAAATAAACTTTATTTAATATAAAATCGTATATTCATTAACAATGATTCAGAGCAAAGATAATTAAGAGAAAAGATTTGCAATAAAATTATTAGAAAAATACTACATCATTTTTTTTTCTCTTGATTTACATCGATTTTGTTACGATGAGAATGGTGTTGTATATCTTATGAAGACAACAAAGTGAATAAACTAATTTCTTATTGATAGTTATTGTCGTTAAGCATGTCCCTCATAATCGATTTCAAGACAGGAACATTCTAATCATATCAAAAAAGAGTAAATAATAGTTAAATAGATAATCTAAAATGTCCTATGAGCACTAAATCTCTCTCTATATATATTCTGTCCTCTTTTGTTTGATAGAACATATCAAATCTCAAGTTTTGACCAAGTCTTTTTTTTTAATCTTAATTTTTTTTGCATGTGGAATTGAAAGGAGACCCACACTCGCATCCAAAATTTCATCATAGCCTTTCCACAATAGTCCTCACATATCTTGAAAGTTTACGTGATTGAAATATTCTAAGCCTAAAAGTGATTTTGCGGAGGGGGGGGGGGGGGGAAGAGAAGGGATATAAAAAATCACGTAGTCAGTTACCACATATGTTTCCGTATTAATATTTTCTGATTGAATATACTTCATGAGATGAAAATGATATATTGTAAAACAATATATTTTCGACTTTAGATTACAATGTTTTTCAATATCAAACATAAGTTTTATGCTTAAAACATCAATAGACTAGAAATTTTCTCTTGACGAAATATCTACTTAATACTATCAAAATGTTTATGACAAGTTTGAATTACTTTCTATTGTTCTCATCGAAATAATCAATACTTTAGAAACTCGAGAATATTACATAAATTGCAAATGATTCTTATGATCGCATATTATAACATATAAGTTGATTATTGATAAGTTAATTGAGTTGAACAGGTTGTCATTGAAAATCTCTGAAGTCGGTGTGGTCCAGTGGTTAGGATAAGGCACTCTAAATGCTTTGGCCCGGGTTCAAATCCCGGCACCGATAAGTTTTTATAAAAGAAAATTCTTTTAATTTCACTATTCGTGAAGAAAATTTCGTAATTTCATATATTCTTTTTTCTCCGACAAGAGGAAAAGAAAAAAAAAAAAACAACAGACAACCGACATACTTCTAAATAATATGTGTCATAATAAGCATTGCTTCGTTCAAACACTCATGATTAATATATGCATATATACATATATAAAATTATTTCATTGACTTTTCCATATAACATTTTCTATAAGATAAAATAAGTAATCTAAATATTTATTAATCTATATGAGAAAAATAGAATTTCATTTGAAACTTATCGAATAATATTTGTTTGGCAAAAAAAAACAAACAGACAAACTAAGAATACTTTGATAAGTATGAATTATTTTTAATATTCATTAACATTCAATAAATTTTTCTATGTCATACATTGATGGAAATTTATGTACAATCAAAGAGAAAAAAGGGCAATAAATCAATGTGTAGTAAGATTTATTTCGGTCATTAAATGTAATTATATATTCATCATAGATATTTCAACATGCCTTAAATAGCAAAAATTTCTATTCTGACCTTTTTATCTAAGCTATTATATCAAGCAAAAAGTCCTAGTAAGATAATGTTATGCTCAATTACGAACGGATCTTAAGGTCAAAATATCTTCTATAAATATTATTCTGTTTTTTTTTCGTCAATTAGAAAAAGGACAAATTGGGTTCTTTTTTTGTTTTTTTGTATCGATGTGCTTTTAAATATCGAGGGCTAAATTCTTTCGAAATATCGACGCTATTTTATAGTTACAAGAAATTTAATTACATCCTTTTTAGAAATGTTTTTTTTTTTTTGTAATTGAAATAACCCTAGATAAATATTTCCGAGAAGAATAGAATGGAAATATTTAAAAGCAATTCTTTTTAGTAATTAGAACAAAAAGAAAAAGAAGAGCTAGACATTTAGAAATTGAAATTCAACCATAGAGCTCTTACATCATTTTTAGAGATGCTCGAAGGAAAAAAACAAACGGGATACACTTATTTTTTTTTATACAATTGTTCTTTCATTTATTATATATTCAATTTTATTCGCTTAGTTAATACTCAATGAGATTTATAGATAAAGTAAGATATATAGTTCGTTATCTTTTGAATATGTAATATGATATTTTCAAGTAAAGAAAATTCTTAACTACATTTTCTTTTTGTTATTTTTGTATTGAAATCACCAATTGATAGCATTTTTACTGTACATTATTGTTTGTTTTGTACATCTTGCATAGCGAACACATCGAAGAATAACATAGGATATAGTTAATGAAACTACAATCTGATGTTTATTCTTGTCTTTCTTTTTTTTTCCTCTATGGCATTCATCTAATTTTAACAAGTAGACGAATAGTGACATTTAGCAATCATTGAAAGTTTATATTCATTTTTTTTTTTCATTTAATCAAATATGATTTTCTTTTTCTTTTCTTTTTTGTCGATAAATATCTATATATGATGATGATGATGATGATGATGATGATCAAATTCTGGTAAAAAGTCCCACCCATGTTGATGCATGCCCGCCTTTAGGCGATAAGAAAGGAAAGTGTATGTTTGTGCAACACTGGCTTCGTCGCTTCACATCCGATCGGCTATCCATCTATTTAACTATCTCTCTAGTGAATGTTGTATGCATGTGCGTGCCAATTAGTGCATCGATCTGTAAACAACATCGAGCTTCTTTTTCTACTCTATCTATCACATACGGCGAAACCCATTGGCGCCGGTATAGATGTGCGAAGATAAGACATGAAGTGCTGGCATGTGTTTGTCTGTTTCGTTTCTTTGCTTATGACATGCACATTGTACAATTGCCTAAAGGAAATCTTCGTATTAGAAAAAAGTTTTTCATTATAGAAATCTATTTTATATTTTGCCATTATTAAAAAATGGTTACTAGTCTACTTTCTTCTTTTTATTTTATTTGTGAAAGAAAAAGAAAACGATGATAATGATAAGTATTAGGTCGTTTAATATATGTGTATGTGTCTACGTGCGTTGTCGAAGTATTTTTTTTCTTGTAAACAAATGATGACGATGACGACGTGTGATTACTTGCTAATCAGGCTTTGCTTCGCTTCCTACAACAAGATAAGTAAAGCAAGGCCAATATGGATTCTGTCATCACCATCATCATCATTGAGGTTGAATCAATCTGGAATATATAGATATACATATATGTTAATCCTTTCCCTTTTAGTCCAGAATATATAGAAAGAAAAATGCTGAAATAATTATGTAAGTATTAAGCAAAAAAAAAAACTAATTATTGAAATACAACGAATCAAAATTTAGATTTTAAATTTCTGTTAATAATTCATATAATACTATTTCTTCAACATAAATAAACTATATTGATGACATGAATTTCTAATTTATCAATGTAAATAGAGATATATAAGATAAGACAGTTGTTATTTTTTCTGTTGATGATTATTAAAAAAAAAAAAAGAAAAGAAAAGAAAGGGAAATTCGATGAAGTCTAGATTTCTAACTTGTTGAAGAATGTGACTGATATATATATTATTATTCTTTTTCTCACAGCAAGCGACTAATTATCCATTCAATGACATATGTTTATCATGATGAAATTTGTCATTTATTACAAGTACTAATGTATTCTTTGAAAACAAATCAAAAGAACGAAATTAGTTAGTTCATATAAAAGCAAAGACTGAATCGATTTCATTAGTTGCATATATATCAACATTATCTAAATGAGTTTTTTCATCTCTGAAAAAAGTAATATATCAAGTCTTTTAAGTTTCATGCAATATATTTATATATATATCTTTTCCTGTCATCTTTTTTTGTGGTACTTAAAAAACAAAGTCTTTATTACATGATTCCTTTTTTAGCTTGTGTCAGCTCATTTGTCTTCCGGTAAAAATGTGTTGTATACACGTAGAAATGCATCTCTAAGTAGTGATAGAAGTCACATAAAAAAAAGAATTATAACATACATTTTTTTTCCTGTATGCTTGTACTTGTGTTTCTTTTACATGACAGCAATTAGTAGCATCTTTCAAGCTAAGCAACAATTCTTAATGGCCTTTCCCGTTCCGTTTTTTTTTCTTCGTTTTTTTTTCTCTCTCTATCTCTTTGTCCCTCTTGACATATAGTATAGAAGATCCACCTTGGATAGATGAGATAAAACATAAGATAAGCCGATAGTAGTCACACAAGGGACACATGAATTTCTTGCGCCGGATATAGTCATAGCAATTTCCTCTCGTTTTTTTTCTTGAATGTGTGTGTGTTTGTCAATCAAATCCCTCTGGTCAAAGTAAAAAAGAAAAAGAGGCAGAGACAGAGAGAGAGAGAGAGAAAAGAAATAAAGACAGACAAAAAAAAAATAGAAGTGGCAGTCGTCCATCTTGATGAAAGTGTGTGCGTTCCGTATTCTTTCTCTACTATTCAGACACTCTCATATTTGCGATACTAATGATGTTCAATTCAGTGCAAGCGATTGCATCATTGTCACGTCGTTGATATTAGTTTAAAAAACATGGATCTCATCATCAAACTAGTCTCAAACTCTCATCAGATTGATGTGTCGGTATGTATGTGTTTGTGTGTTATTAGTTATCGTTTGTAATCCAGATTCTTTTTTCTTTCTTTCTTTACATCTTTTTCAATTTATACAACATTTGGTGGATGCATATGTGTGTGTGTGCCTTGTGTAAATTTACTTTATATATGTGCGCTTGTCTTATTTACTAGCAATACTGTCATTCAAGCTGTTGATGCTTGCTGTAGCTTGTTTTTGTCGTTCGCTCATTCGTTTTGGCGTCTATCACATTGCATTGCGAAGTATTAGGA